GTTACATCATCTAAAATCTAATTAATGAACATGTGACTAATGACATGATTTTGATTTTCAATTTTAGATTATTGCTCATTTGCAACTGAATAATTGGATTAATTTAGCACGGTACTTTTTCAAGGAAATTATGCAATGATGGAATCTTTTCAAATTCAATTTTCTCCATGTAATTTTCAACATAATATATAATCAAATTATCTATATTGATTGATCTGCTCTAGATTCAAATTAACGCATAAATGATTCAGTGAAAATGTTACAAAAATTTGTTACAATTATGTTTTTTCAACATGCTTGGATTTTGTTGAAGCAAATATGAATTAAATTGTCAAATATTTAATTAAAATAAATGCTCTTGATATTACTATCAAAGTCCTTTAGCTTCTCTATCAAGGTTTAGAGGACGACGCATCACAAAATAGTTTTCATTCACTTGGTCCACCTGCCCTAGCTCCCTGGCAAAACTTGCCAAGGATGCTCAAACTTTGCAAGACGATAAGTATAAACTTTGAACATCCCAATCCTGTTTTTTGTCGAATTTTGTTCCCAAAAATATTAGTGAGACATGTTTTTTTAGTTTTTGAACCTTGTCTTGACCTTAGTTTTTGGGGAATAATTTTGATCGATGATACCTCAAAAAATATCATATCTTAAGGTCTTGATGTTTTCAAATGATCTTCGTAAATCGACAAGCTTTTTTCTATATATTCGCCTTTTATTTCAAAAGTCATGATAATATTGATGATATTAGCATTGTGCAGTTTCTATTATAACAACATAAACTCTTGGATAATGACAGCAATTCAAATGGCAATGACATCATGGAGATTTCATATTTGATGCCAATCAAACAAGCTTGTCAATCACAGATTTTATTAATTTTCTTGAGTCATTTTTATAGATTGAATTTAAAAAAAAACTTTTATTCAATCTCTAAAGAGCTTGTTTTCCTTTGATCCACTAGCAAAAATTTGAAAGAATTGGATGGCTAAAAAAATTAACGACATGATCCGTAGCCGAATATTTAACTGTATCCTAGAAAGAGTAAAATATTGATATAGACATTTGATTAATTTTATGTCACATTTTACTTTTTATTCACAACTCTTTATTGTGATTATGATAGGACTTAGAACTTCAAAATTACAGTTGATGTTGTCATTAGTGAATAGTATTTTATCACTATTCACATAAATAAGATGTTATTATTGGGCTGATTTAATCATTTCAACTAATGAATTCAAAATTTTATTTCACTAGTGTAAGTTTGTCATTCATACCAGGTGGCATTATTAGAAGATTTTACTTTCTATATTTTAAACGAAATTTCATAAATCATATGATTTGTTGTTATTTAATCTTTATTTTATTTTTAATTTCACACATGATTATTTCAATATGTTTGCAATAAATTGAACTGGTTATTACATAAGAATATTCGTCGTGTTGGAAATTTTTGAACAATATTGATTAGATGTGTTACATAAGTATCCAAACATATCATAAGATATGTTAAATACAAATAATTTGGTTCTTATATCAAAAAGATTTATCCTATTAAAATCAATAAGTTCCATCTGACGATTTGAAAATAATTCATCGAATATAAAATAATTCTTTCAAAATAATATCCAAAAACCATATACATTCTAAAAATTATGATAAAGAAAATACTATCACACAATTTGGAAAGATTTATAAATCAATCAAATCTCCAATAAATGATGATAATGTGATATGATGTAAATATGTAGTAGTATGGCCGAATGATAAATTTGTGAAAATTTTCAATTTATAATTTATTTTAAAATATATCATTTTTCTACTGTTTAATTTCAATATATATATATAGGAATAATAATATAATATACTCAAAATTATGTTTTATAATATTTTCACAAAATTCTATGAAGTATTTTAGCAAAATTATCAAATATTTCTGCCATTTTTTGAAAAAAACTATTTTTTTTTTGTTTGATGAAAAAGTTCAACAAACATTTATTCATGATAAACATGAAATACTATATAATAATTGAAATAATTATGATTTAATTCGAATTTTAATAGTATTGATTCATATCAAAATTATCAATCAAATTAATTTTTTTTAATGTGGCTATATAAATTTAAGATTGATAATTTATTTTATAATATTTATTCCCAAAAAAAATATTCCGAAATTCAAACAAAAAATAAATGTCCACTATAAATAAAACTTATGTTATGTTTATTTTTTAGTTTATACTTTGATATTATATTTGATTAAATGAGTGAATGTCAACATGTTATCTTATGTGCGAAAGATTGTGACTTGAATAATCAACATGTTTTACAACAAATTGTTTTCAAATAATGATCTCATACAACCAAAACCAGAGCTGGCACGACGCGGTCATATCAAGTGGGGTTTTATCGGGTTTTAGTGTTTAACACGATGTTCCTTAGGGCACATAAATGGGGTTTAATTTGATTTTAATGAGGTGTGTCATACGACAAGTGCAAGTCTCTTTCAGAGACTTCCATGTGTCACTTTTGCTTGATGTAATCATTTTAGATATGTCCACATGTCAATAATTAAATCCACAAAATATCAAATTTTATTGCATTAAACTATCAAACCGGTTGATATCACAAAGATTTTTTTGGTTTTATTCACCCGTGACCAAAACACTTCGATGATGCTAGATGAAAAATGGGTTAAAAACATGTATTATTAAATTTATTTCTTTCACGTTAAGATCCTAAAATGCTTTACTTACGTAAGATGCATTGGTTTATTTACTATAATATATCCATTTGTATTATGATGTATCATCTTCTTTATAAAACGCTGAAAATACTTTTAAAATTAATGTATATAGCTTGGTTTCACTTATTTGCATTCTTTATATGATAAAGATGTTCACATTGATGTTACAATTTGAAATATAAGTGTCAAGAGATTTTTATACATGATTGGATCCAAATGACTTGAATATCATGAGTATGTTGATCAATGATGATACGCTATTTAATAATCATAATATAGTTTTAGATTTGTTTTATTTTAACATGGCTTGATAAAATTATTATTTTGAGTTTTATATTTTATTGTAAATGAAATATTTATGATTGCAACAAATTTTAGCTCTCTATTAATTATTATACATCATTATGTTCAATTTGTGATTTTTATGTATAATTTTGATATTTATAGAGATATATATATAAACATAATAAAAATAATCATTATATTTCTTATATATGTTTAACAAATTTTAATCATATTTTTTATAAAAAAATCACCTTTGCTCTTATGCATTTGGTCTCTAGATCATTCTATAAGTATATGTCTTAGATACAACAAATTTGACTTATAGTTTTCCAAATTGATACATATAATAATTTGGTAATTACATTGCATACATTCTTGACAAAAGCACAACTCTTAGTGTAACATCTTTTATCTATAAAACGGGAATGTATCATAAATTTCTTCATATTGTTTTTGAAATGTAAAAAAAATAACTATATATATTCAAACATATGTATATCAAAAAATGAAGTGTAGATAAAATCATGATAATTCTATAATGCATGCCAAGACTAAAAATGATTTGGCGCTTTTTTTGGTTTTAATTTTTGTGTAGTACATGTTGTAATCAAAATTTTGAAGTTTTGTAATACTTTGTTTGAAAAATATACGGTATACTGTAGAAACTTTGATGTATAAGAAATATATCAACATGCTATATCCTTAGCACTTACGTTTTGAATAATTATTGAAATATGGATTTCATCTTATCAACATAAGTTAGACATTATTTGCTAAATGTAATTAAAATTGAATCCCATGCGACATTAAATTATTTTAGTTCAAATTTCGCTGAAGCCATCATTGTTTGAATTGCATGTAAGTATCTGATCCATCATTTTTGTTACAGAAACATAAAAAACACTGAAACGTTTATTAACAATGACTTGCAGCAATATAAATTTCTATCCATTTCGCAATTTTATATTCTGTTGTAAGTATAAGTTTGAAAAACTATTTGTCTCAGTCAGAAATATCCAACACTTCAGATTGTACTATTTTGTAATAATAAAAAAAGATGCTACTGAAATTTGTGGCTGACTTTCGCACGTCTACGAAAGTAAATTGTGTTTTATCTTCTCGATGACGTTTGTTTTATCAAATGAAAATGGTACAGTGGACACGTTCTTGACTACTGAACATGGATGGCAATTACTCTGTAATTGGTATTGATTACTGTAAGCTCAGCATTAGCATAATTACGTAAGGACAAGACCAGAGATCAAAGGTCGATCGCTGAGTGGCAGCCATAAATAATGGCGAACAGTGACAATGGAAAGCAAATCATTATTTAGCAATGAATACGACCTCGCTTAAAAGCCATGTTGATCTCAATCCAAGGAATCGTTTCTCAGACATTCCTACCTCATGAAAACTCCATTCCTGAAAGATCATGCATGTAGGAATATCACGTCTCTTGTCAAGTCTCCCGTCTTTTCATGCCGGGAAAGAAAAAAGTCACCTTGCTTATCAGTTGTGTGCAATATATATATATATATATATATATTCCATTTTTCTCACGGATGTATTCGTACTAATCTGTACGCACAATGTATTTAGGTACAGAATTAAGAAGAGATTGAAGAAAAATTGGATGAAAAAGTTGTTTGAATCGTGTAGAAATAAACTCTCGACTGTCACTATATAAAATCCAATAGTCTTCACAATTTGTGTCAAATGACAATCTATGACATATCGATAGAAATAAATATGATTCTCATTATCTTCGGAAAATAATGTATACTTGAACAAGAAGATACTGTATGTATACTTTGATAATGTATGTATATAAACGTCCCCCATTGCAATGCTAGAATGGTGGCGAGCAGTCCTCGACTGGCGCAAGAAGATCACCACAGGAAAGACGCTTGGCAGAGAAGAGACGCTCTTTTTCCCCACGGAGAGAAGTTCGTCGATATCCACAACAAATGATGTTCATTTCGTGCGACTGAATGACTGCTCTCGTACAACAAGTTCAGGGACTGGTCATAACTACAACCGCAAGCTCAAGCGAGAGGGAAACAACAACGTCGTCGTCGGTCGGTCGGTCTAGCGTGTGGCCTGCCCTACCGCCTTTCTGCCTTTGCCTTTAAGACTTGTCGCTCCCTCGTCCTCACCCCTGAGGCGAAGAAGAGGAAGAGGAGGAGGAAGAGGAGGAGGTGGTGGTGCCGCCTCGGGGGTCGTATAAACTCCACGTCGAGTTCCGAGTCACCGTTTCTCTTCTCGCGCAGCGGTGGTGCTGCAGTGCAGCAACAGCCAGAGCTTCTTCCTGAGGGAGGCCCGGCATCGACGATTCTGGAGGCCAAATTCGCGATACGGGAGGTGGCGGCTTGAAGATAGAGGAGGTCATTCATTCCGGTTGAATTTGCGTCAGACGAGTGTCGGTGTTGGCGAGAGCAAGAGAGAGTTGTACGCAAGAGGAGAGCCCGAAATGGTGGCACCCGCAGCTGGGCCTGCTGCTCCCGTAGCAGAGCCGTCTGAACCGTAAGTGCCTCGTATGGATGATGGTGTGTGGATGGGATCCGTGGGTGACAAGCTCTTCGGACTTGGAAATTCTCGGGATGGGGTTTATGGTGATTGTGGGCTGCATCTGGGCTGGTAGCGGTGTTCTTGGGTGAGATCGGCGGCTTGTAGCTCATCTTGACGCTGTGGATCATTTGGGGTTGGAGTTGAGCTGAATCTTGTGGGAGTAATTCTTGATTTGTGGATGATCGTCATGCCGACTCAGGAAGGAGGCGAAGAGAGATTTTACGACCGCCATTCTGGAGCGGAAGAAAGCTCCCAACCGGTTGATCGTCGATGAGGCCATCGCTGATGATAACTCCGTCGTGGCATTGAACATGGAGACCATGGAGAAGCTACAGCTTTTCCGCGGAGACACAGTTCTCATCAAGGTGGGCCTTTGCAAATAGCTGATGCTCGTGATTTCACTACGTAGACTCTAGCATCTTGCCTTCGCAGTGGCCCCCTGTCGCATTTACAGCCATATAGACAGGGACCTGTAATACATTGACTACGTCGGAATATGTTCTCCAAGTGGAAGTATCTTTCGAATGATTTCGATCTATTGCGAGCTTAAGGTCCCAACTCGGTATTCGTGCTGGGTATTCAGCTGGTAGATCAGAGCGAAGATGCTAAAATTACGTGGAGTCGTAATTGCAATTTTAATGGAATTGCAGTGTAAGAGTCATATAGAACCAACCAAGCTGCTGATGTTTCATTCTGAGCTGAGATTTATTTCCTGCCGTTTGCTACCTCTGTACATAGTCCATGCTTTACCCAAATATCAATCTGGGCAAGATAGTCTTCCACTCACATTTTTGAATTCTCTATGCTGGATATGACTTCAAGTAAGTTTTCATGAGCATATACTGTATAGGATGTATGAGAACCATACACTATGTGTGGAGGTATTGCCAAAACAGAATGCGAACTGTGCAGTAGCATGCCTCTTTTCTGAACACTGAAAAATTGCTGTATGGGACTTGCTTGACCGTTCTTGTACGGTGTATGTTGTACTGCTGGCCGACATGATAATAAGTATTGCAGAGGTTTTATTGCGTTAGAAAGTCATCCTCTGCAGTTGACAGTTCGATGAAAGAATACTGAGTAGTAGGCATGGCATTTGCACTCACAAAATTCTATTTGTTTTAACGTATTACATCTTTGCATTGGCCCTTATAGCTTGTTTCTTGCTCTTTTTTCCTCATTACCTTACACTTAATTTTATAAATTAGAAATGAAGGGTCTCGAAATGTTCGTGGTTATCTCATTGCTCGACTTAGGGTAGACGCTTGACTGAAGATGTTTTTGTTGTGCAAATGTCTAAGATGAACGAGTGCACTCGTTCACGGACTTGAAACATTTCCGCAAGTTCACGCGGTTCCAAGTTATTTTTGATTATCTGAACTTTTTACCATTGTTCTACTTCACTATCTCCGCACAACATGACATCGACCTGGAAGTTGGTAGTTTGAGTACTCGTCATTGTAGAGCCGGGCGATGGGCTTTATAATTATCATAATCCATGTGAATTGCTGGTAGGTGTGATTTCGGAAGCTAACAGGTTCTGTTTGGAGGTCTCGATACTGATTTTTCACCCAAGTACGTCAATCTCCGTGAACGAGTTTTATAATGTGCCTGTCGTGAGCCACTTCTCATTGAGATATAGTGTCTGTATATTTGTGGGACACATCTGTAAGCACTGAATTGCCTGCTTTTGGCCTTTCGGGTGTTGAGCTATGTTGGTAATATAGGTCATTAACTAGTGCGTCCACTCTTGAATATCGCGCAGGGAAAGAAGAGGAAGGACACAGTCTGCATCGTCCTGGCTGATGAGACCTGCGAGGAGCCAAAGATTCGAATGAACAAGGTTGTGAGGACCAACCTACGAGTCCGACTCGGAGATGTTGTCTCAGTTCATCAATGCGCTGATGTTAAGTACGGAAAGCGAGTGCATGTTCTGCCCATCGATGACACCATTGATGGTATCACCGGGAATCTCTTCGATGTTTTTCTAAAGCGTAAGAGTCTCTTTTTCATTCTTCTTACTCCTCTTTGCTGAAGTATGTTCCTGTTCTAGCAATCCCCTATCTTTGGACTGAGGGCTGGCGGAGAAGATAACCCCTCATTTAATAGCCCGAAGGCGATCACACCATTTTGAGCGTTAGGATGAAAGGTCGCATGTCTATGCACCTTTCTGTTTTCCTTACTATCTATGCCTCAGCTACACGTAGTCTTTTAGTCTCCCAGACCACGTGAGTAGAATATGAAAATTCATGATGAGGCTCCTGTCTTTCAACAAGCAACAAGGTTTAGTGTCGCCAAGTCCAATTTTGATTGACTAATCTTATGTTTCTTCCTCTATGCCGGTTATTGAGAAACCTTGCACCATGTGCAGCATACTTCATGGAGGCCTATCGGCCAGTCCGCAAAGGCGATTTGTTTCTTGTCCGAGGTGGAATGAGAAGTGTGGAGTTCAAAGTGATCGAGACAGATCCAGCAGAGTACTGCATTGTTGCACCAGACACGGAAATTTTCTGCGAAGGTGAAGCGGTCAGGCGGGAGGACGAAGAGCGTCTTGACGAAGTAGGCTACGATGATGTTGGAGGTGTGCGTAGACAGATGGCGCAGATTAGGGAGCTTGTAGAGCTCCCACTGAGACATCCACAACTTTTCAAGTCCATTGGAGTGAAGCCACCGAAAGGTATCTTGTTGTACGGGCCACCAGGATCAGGAAAGACGTTAATTGCCAGAGCGGTGGCGAATGAGACAGGGGCCTTTTTTTTCCTCATCAACGGTCCGGAGATCATGTCTAAGCTTGCGGGAGAGAGTGAGAGTAACTTGCGAAAGGCTTTCGAGGAGGCCGAGAGGAACGCTCCCTCCATCATTTTTATCGATGAAATTGACTCCATTGCACCCAAGAGAGAGAAGACTCAGGGTGAAGTAGAGCGGAGGATTGTATCTCAGCTTCTCACTCTCATGGATGGTTTGAAGTCCCGAGCCCACGTGATCGTCATGGGCGCAACTAACAGGCCGAACAGCATTGACCCTGCTTTAAGAAGATTTGGTCGTTTTGATCGAGAGATTGACATCGGTGTGCCTGATGAAGTCGGACGCTTGGAGGTGATGAGGATCCACACCAAAAACATGAAGCTCGCTGAGGATGTGAGTATTATACGCAGTATCTGGCATGTCTTCCTGTATGCTTTCAACTTACTGTTGAGGAAAGGTGCTAGTGGAGAACATCAAACTGAAGGATTTTGATTCTCTTGAATTTGTTTACTTGCGCTGTGATTGTAGTTGTACCTTTCTTTCCGTTTGTTAGCTTCTGTTGGTCTCACTAGTTTTGCACATCATGCAGGTTGACTTGGAGCGAATTGCCAAAGATACCCATGGGTTTGTTGGAGCCGATCTTGCAGCACTTTGCACTGAAGGTGCACTTCAGTGCATCCGAGAGAAAATGGACGTTATCGATCTTGAAGACGAAACGATCGACGCTGAAGTGTTGAACTCCATGGCTGTCACAAACGAACATTTCCAAACAGCTTTGGGAATCAGCAATCCCTCGGCTCTACGAGAGACGGTTAGTGAAGCTCTTACCTAACCACGTGCATTGATGGAAGTGAATGTTTTGAAACTTCGCATTTGACATCCGAGTTTTTACCTCTTTTTGGTTAGGATGCTAATACTTGTGACTTTTGGTTATTTTCTTTGGAAATGAAGGTTGTCGAGGTGCCGAATGTTACATGGGAAGATGTCGGAGGGCTGGAAAACGTCAAGAGAGAATTGCAGGAGGTAAGAGCCAGCGAAAGCACCGGGGAAACATACCGTCTTGCGTAATTATGAATGCAGTATTCTACGGGTGTTCTTCCTTACACCTGAGCTTATTTGTCCAGCTGATTAATGAACCTATTGTTTTCACTTCAACAGACCGTCCAGTACCCCGTGGAGCACCCGGAGAAGTTCGAGAAGTTCGGAATGTCTCCCTCGAAGGGAGTCCTTTTCTATGGTCCTCCTGGATGTGGAAAGACCATGCTCGCCAAGGCCATCGCCAACGAGTGTCAAGCTAACTTTATCAGTGTCAAGGGTCCCGAGCTTCTTACCATGTGGTTCGGTGAGAGCGAAGCCAACGTGCGTGACGTTTTTGACAAGGCCCGCCAGTCTGCTCCTTGCGTTCTCTTTTTCGATGAACTGGACTCCATCGCTACCCAGGTAAAGCTCCCTTGAAGTGGATGCCTTCATTCTTTGTCTTCGCTATAGTCCATGTACTAGACCTTTGGCTTGACGTTCCCATCCCTATCGCCATCATCACTTGTTCTGGTCTTACCTCGATTACGATCGTCAGTATCCCCATCCCTTGGTGAGATTGGGTCAAGAGTGGAGGCAGGAGGCATTATGCTTTGAAAAGTAATGGAGTGTGCAAAGAGCTGACGTGCCTCTCTTGGTTTGCAGCGAGGTAGCAGCGGAGGCGATGCAGGAGGTGCTGCCGACAGGGTGTTGAATCAGCTTTTGACGGAAATGGACGGCATGAACGCCAAGAAGACCGTCTTCATTATTGGTGCTACAAACAGGCCCGACATTATCGATTCCGCCTTGCTGCGACCCGGTCGTTTGGATCAGCTCATCTACATTCCCCTACCTGATGAGGCCTCTAGATTAAGAATTTTCCAAGCATGCCTCAGAAAGTCTCCAATCTCTAAGGAAGTTGATCTAGAAGCTCTTGCCAGATATACACAAGGATTCAGTGGAGCTGATATCACGGAAATCTGTCAACGTGCTTGCAAGTACGCCATCCGAGAGAACATTGAACAGGTAAAATCATCAGTTCTTGAATTTGCCTACAGCTTGATATTATGACATCGAGGAATGAATTGTGTAATCGCATGGATAAAATCATGTTAAGGTTATTACAGGATTGGTTATTGCGGAGCTCGTTGAACACAGTGTATATAGACTGGAAGCTAGCGAAAGGAGTAGCACATCTTATACTACATGGGCTTACGAAGGAAAGAGATACTTGTATGTCATGCAGCATGCTTCTATGGCCTGTCGGAGGAGCAATAGATTGCCTCAAGGGCCTTCCTGTTTTTGTGGCTCCTTCATCTGGACCTTTGCTCATGCTGATGATACGCGTTCATGCCTGCAGGATATTGAGCGTGAGAAGAAACGAGCCGAAAACCCCGAAGCAATGGAGGAAGATGAAGAGGAAGAGGTAGCCCAAATCACTGCTGCTCATTTTGAGGAGTCGATGAAGTTTGCACGGAGGAGTGTCAGTGATGCAGACATCCGAAAGTACCAGGCTTTTGCCCAAACACTGCAGCAGTCTCGGGGATTCGGATCCGAATTCCGCTTCCCAGACAGACCGGCCGTTCCAGCCACAGCCGTGGGTACTGAAGGTGCTGCATTCACTTCAGCTGCTGCGGCCGATGATGACGATCTGTACAATTAGAGCAAGTTTTTTCTAGGACAGATAAGATTCAATCGACCCAAAAGTTATATAGTTCTAGTCACTAGCCTCATTGCAGCAAGCAAGATTTGTACAATTGACACATACAAACGCACGGGGTTGCAGCAGATGCTGCACCCTTGACCTCTAGTCTTTCCGAGCCGAAGATGTGCATGTTCTTTGGGCATTCAATCATGGGTTTGGATCGTAGTGGTCAAATCACATACAACTCTTTCTGCTATTCAATGGCATCATCACATCTCGATAATTGCAGACTCTCGGCTACGTCCAAATGTCTACTCTATGGGCACTTATCCTTTCATCCATCTGTCGGCTCGTCTGTGATGACAATTTTGTAAAGCATTTTCAACATGGCCGCCAATTTTCAACTCTTGCAAGAAACACGATGTTAGACGTTGAATGTAACGGTGAGGCATCCCTTCCTCATGTCGCTCGTTTAGTAGTTGATCATCATCCTGCACACCTCGGGGGCCATTAAATTTCGAATTTCGAATTTCGAAATTTCTGGTGTCCTCGTAGTCAAGCAGCTCCTGGTTGCGCGTACCAAGGCCAGAGGACAGACATAGAACCTTCCATCCAAGAGTACACCGAGGATAACATGAAGCTACAACTCACCACGACCGACACCATCTCATCGGAGCGATCCAAGTGACTTCTCACCGCAATTTATAAACACGCGGAGCCATTCCAGGCTAGAAGGTGTTCGAGTCACGAACTTTTTTTTTCACACCATGGCAATCCACTTCAAATGTTGAAATGTGTACACTGCTCGATTGTTCACAAGAGAGTGGAGGCTCGAAAACAGATCTCACTCGCCTACGAAACTGGAGTTGGATGGTAGCCGTGCGAAGCTCACGTTTGCATCTTGGGTTCGTAGCCAACCCTCTTTGTTCCTTGTCAGATATTGACAGACGATCCAGGAGTCCACAATGTTGGACTAACAGTAGACTCGTGCGTTGTGAGAGCAGAAACATATTTGGCCTCGGGTCTGCTCTTCCACTGTCGAATTTCGAAATGATTTCTGCTCACAGGGTTCATCCTGGAACCGATCGCCACGACGCGCAGACGCAGGCCTAGCATTGGCGGAGAGCTTGAATTTAATCGTTGTGATTGTCGAAAATCGTCGAGGCAGAAGAGAACTTTATTCGATTTTAATCGCGCCTCTTCGAGTTTTTTCCTGGTGGGATGAAGAAGTGTCGAAGAGTCTGACAGCGTTTGAAGGAAACTGAAATGAAGCAACGCTGCGATTAATGTCACAAATTATTTTCGAAACGGATCGAGGAGAAACGGCTCGGACATGGTGAACCAGCGACTTCGAGCGGCAGTTGTACGAATAGCGAAGACTGCCGACCATGAGACCAGTTCTCTGCCAATGCTGGAGAAATCTCTGAAACCTCTTCTCGCGTCTGCCTCTGCAATCTACCGTGGACTATCCTTCACGCGCCGTTTCTTGTATAATTACGGTCTTCTCGAAGCCACGAGGTAAAGTTTTCCCCTTCCGCCACTCTCAGTCTTTCAAACGAATCAATTTTTCCAAGCTCGATGACGGGGCATTTAACTTGGGGACGAGCAGAAATCTTCACACACAGATCTTGTTCACACTGTCCGACGCAACTCCAACCCTCTTCAATTCCCAGTCTTGCATTTCATCGGTTTGCAATATGGGAGATTTCAATTATGACTTATATGAAGCTTAAGAAACCAATTTGAACTTCTTTTCTTCGAAGAATCAGGCTGCCAGTTTTTCCGCAGTGTAAGTAGTACGTGCTTTCTGCTTTACGGTGCTTTATTTGCTTACGAGCAACCTCGAGCTGTGTAAGTGACTTTTGAGTCAAGAGATCAAAATAAAATCCTTGAACATGTTTGTGTCGGAGTAGCTTCCCGCAGATTGCCAGTGCCCGTGGTGAGCGTCGGGAACATTACATGGGGAGGCAACGGGAAAACTCCGATGGTCGAAACCCTATCTGGGTGGTTTCTGGGTGCTGGTATATGTCCCCTCATACTTACCAGGGTAAAGGATCTCCGTCTTTGTGCTCACAATCTTCGATAAATTACGATGCATATAATGAGAGTGATGTGGTTCTGGATGCCAAGACTTCTATCGCGATTTCGCTTGGGTTTGAACCTTGACGATTCGAGCTCGTCTTCGTTAGTTTGCTGACTCGTTGATTTGTGGACAGCAGGGTTATGCAGGTGGGGATGAAGCCCAGATGCTGCAAATGCACTTACAAGGCTCTTGCGCCAAACTGGGTGTAGGTCCCAATCGGGCGAACATTGCACGCTCATTCTTACAGAGTCATGGTATGCAATCTTACCAGCACAGAAAGAAGCTCGGAGAATCACTCAGCTTGGAAAGCGCTGGCACATCATCGCAGCTTTGGATGAAAGGAGATGGGAAGATCGGAGTTGTAATTCTTGACGATGGGATGCAGGTACTGTAATCCGCTCGCTGGACTCGTATTAGATTCCCGTCGAGGTATTCTTGCGTTCTCGCTGGAAAGTTTAATGAAGTTGACGGTCTCACAATCCCTTTCTTTCATTTCAACCGAGCTGAAGGAAGAATCTCATGCTGCAGCACCTGCCTCTAGCGAGGAACTTGGAGATTGTGATGGTGAATGCCATCACTCTGTGGGGAAACACACGGATGGTGCCTCGCGGCCCTCTGAGAGAATCGTTGCATCAACTGAAACGAGCGGACGTGCTGGTTTTGCACCATGCAGATCTGGTACGCTCCATGTCGTCCAGCTATAAGCTCTTGCAATGAACCTCCCGAGCAGTTCGTCAGATCCGCCATCCTTGCCCTCCTCCGCCATCCTCAGTGAGTTCACGATGCTACGATTTGTGGTTCCTGATCAGGTCGCCGAAGAAAGTCTAGACAGCACAGAAACCATGCTCAAGCAGTTCCTGAGAAAAGACGCCATCGTGATCTGTTCGAGCATGATTCCGCTGCATCTGTTTGGATTACCTTCGCTGGAGGCCGAGATCGGAAGCCTGCGACGAACCCCGGAGCATTCGAGGCTCCCGTTGAACACACTGAGAGATTCTGTTGTGCTGAGTGTGTCCGGCGTTGGCTGCCCCGAAGCTCTTTCTCTGGCCTTGGAGCGGGTAAACTCTGGCCTTCTCGGTGCTTTTTCGTGTGCACTCTCACTCTTACTCTCGCTGATTCTCGAGCATATCGTGATTCAAACGAGGAGGAGGAATCTAAGGTTTCTTTCTGTGAATCTAAGGTTGGTTCTAAAGGTGAATCGAATTCAACGTATTGTGTTTTGTTTTTGTCAGCTGGGGGCTCACCACGTCGAACGCATGGATTATCTCGACCATCACTCCTTTCGACCGAAGGTTTTTTCCCTCCTCCACTTCCTCGATGATGACCTTTGTTGCTTGTTTCCTCTTTTCAACTTCTGCGGACAACTCAACTGACGATGTGTAGTAAGTGAGTGGGTAATCTTTGGCAAGTTTGCTAAAATCGATTGAATGTTGCCGACCGCCTCTTCTCTAGGATTTGCAAGACATCGATATGAGATGCCTCGAACTTCAGATGCGATTCGAAGGCAGGACAGTTGTTATTGTCTTGACAGAAAAGGTACAATCTCTTGAACTCTGTGTTTGACTCACGAGGCTTGGATGTGGATCTCCAGTTCTGAGAGAGTTGGAAATCTGTTCATGCTAATCCTGTGTGAATGAAGCTGAGCACCATTGTTTTATAAGCAGCCCAACTTCATCGGATGGACTAAATGCAGAGTCCTGCTCGTGTGCAGGACTACGTAAGAGACCCACTCATTTGGAGAATAGTCACCAATGCCCAAGTTCTAATTCTCCATTCGTCTTTGAAGCTAATTTCGACGGGAAAGACTCTGGCAGCGTTGAGAAAATTGCTCACAGCAGTGGTGAGCTGCGATGTGACCAAAGGATCTGGGGGCAGGTGACTGTCTTCTCCCAAAGGGAACGAAGTACATTTGCTGTAAATGAAAGCTATTCCTGTCTCATAAACAATAAAGAGAAACAACCGATCCGGATTTGCGACGCTCTTCGAAATCATGGTCGTGCTAGAGTCCCACAACCGCATGGGAGCATCGAAGAAGTTTGTCTGTACCCACTGCATGATCAAGGGAGAGTTCAACATACAATGCAGGTGGCAGAAAAATCATGGAATTAAATCTGATTGAGGAAAGAATAGTAATAGATAGAGACTTGTTCAATTTTCCATTAAGTGTTGTTGGGTTTTGCAAGCGGCAAAAAGAGGGGAACAAGGGTTGTCAAAGTAAGTTGTAATGTGCACATAGTGAACCGTCTCATCCTTGGGTGGAAATTGAGTACACAAAAGGGTAACCTTAATCTCAGATCGATTGATAACCTAAATTTCAACACGATTATGAGTATGGTAATAATCGGTCGAAAGATGCCACAGAAGATGTATTAGAAAATGAACGGCTACACTCCTCTCCTTGTTGTAATCGTAGCTGCGGACACCAGACACACACGACTGACGTGATCAAAGCATTACACGAAGAGCAGAAGGGAGGAATCAGGCATTGGGTACTGTACTTGATGGAAGGTGCCCAAGATCAGAAAGGGTCCCAAGAGACCGACCTAGAGCAGGAGGTACAAACTACTTCAGGAGGTGACTTCATCTGGCAAAGCTTGCCGGCACAATAAGCGCTCTTTCGGATATGTGCATTTCTTTGAGTCTGCGCACACATTTTATGAAACTTCGAATATTCCCTGCGATTGTGTTCTCGATCCCCATTCGAATTCAATCTGGTCGATTGTCCGCCATTTTCGGATGTTCAAGACAAGTCAGGAATGCATATTTTCTGGCTGACCTTCTTGTCCGCTAGTGGCATCCACCTTCACTTCACATGCGCGAAGTGTTGCTCGATGCCAGACCATCAGAGAAGCCGCTCCATTTTCAGACTGCAGACCCGAAGCGAGTCACATTCTGTCGTCGGCTCAAACGAACAGTAGCGGGAAAATACGGAGGTCTCGAAGCTGCGGCAACGAGCAACGAGCTCGGAGCTCGCTGGATAAAACATGGCCCAGGACACAAATCCACCGGCGAATGAGAATATTTACCGAGTAACTCGAAGGATCAAGAAAACAGAGCAGACGATCTACAACGCGCTGCGCTCGATTCACGACGACTCTCTGTTTGTGTCTGAGATTCGCCATTTGTGGCGTGAGCTGCCCTTGCTGGCCAATTTGCGGTGTGGACTCTGGTATTCATCTGATTTCGATGGAACTTGCTACTTCAAATCCACAGATGGTCACAACGGAAACTGGTCATTCAACACTGGCCGAATGAATCTCCATGTCGCTATGCTTGCAGGTAATCCTCAATATCTCTGCTTCCGTTTCTAGACATGATGAACATGACCTTTGACAGATGAATGCGTTGACTGTAGATTACTCAGGAATTCTGTGAAGAGTTATGTTGTCTAAACGTGTTTTTTTATTAATGGAAACAGATGGTTTAAGAAATACTACTCACTATTTTGCTGGACGGGCTAATGTGAATAGCAGCTTTCGCATCCATCTCGCAGATTTGAGACCATATGAACGGTAGCTGCCAACTAATGCTAGACGATGTGTATTCCAGTTTCATGTCTGTTCAAAAGTTGCGTCTTTTGAAATACTGATTGATTCACTTCGTTAGATATTTTCCATTTCAGATTCTTGTCACCCGTTATTCTCTTTTGTAAATGAAAATAAAGGCACGGCTTTGTTTCACAGATGAATCTCACAACAAAGAGGTGCTGTTCGTGCTGCCTCGTTGGATTATTGAGATTCAGATGTTAACATTTGTTCTCTGTAATTTCTCTCCCCGTTTTTAGTGACATGGAATTTTAATGAACCACGATTCTGTGTATGAGTGCAGCTGAAAGAGGGGGTTGCTTTATTGTTGATGCCACAAGGAAAGGCAAGCGTTTCCCTGACGCTATGTCCAAGACTATACCAATATGGGCTTGTGTATTGAACCGAGCACTCGCTGACTATCGCAGTCTTCACGCGCAGGAGATGCTGGATCCCTCAGCCGAGCAGACTGGAAATGGTCACCTTGAAAATGATTCCCGAGGAGGAGGTAAAACAGGAAACTCAGACTTGGAAAATGATTGGGATTGTTCACTGCACCTTCCCGTCTGGATTTCTCACGTCGAGAAGGGTAACATAGAAAGCCGCATACAGAGCTGGGTGGAGTCCTTGAAGTCTACCGTTGTTGATTTGGAAACCCTAGCCAAAACCTTGAAGAAGCCTTTACGACCCCTTTGGATATCGCAGAGCTCAGTCATCTGGTTAAATGAACTTCCAGAAGTAGATGAGTGGTCATTCACTCCAATAATTCTTGTATCTGCATCTAGGCCATCCATATTCACCCAGAGATACACAGATGAAGACTTTAGTTGGAGCTATATACCAGGTGCTGCAGATGACGAAGAAAGTTGGGCAAGGGGTTTAACTCCAGCTCTTTTCTGGACACATTATCTCGATATTCTTGAGGGTGGCCCCACTACTTGCAATGCAAAAGTAGCTGAAATTGTGGAACGAGATCGTGTTTATAGGGCACAGCGAGGGATCCAAGCTCCTCAGGTACGAGTGAAATCTGGAAGATTTGGGAGTGAAATCTCCCAATCAGCAGATAGAGAATGTACTCAACATGAGACAGCTTTGGACTTAATGATCCGAAATGGCCCGGCGGAGGGAGACGGAAGGGCTTTTAGAGCAGAAGGCGAACCAACTTCGGAATCTTGGTTTATCAGGAAAGCTTCGCTGAATTTGAAAGGATTCCATTGGATTGGCAATACTGGACTTGCAGTTGGCAACGAAGATTGTGGTGAGTTTCTCGTAATATTTTGGGTTTGAAATTCAATTCTTGTTAGGACAGTGGAATAGTCTAGCCCCACACACGCTTCAAGTCAATCCATCCCTCAAAGATGTCATCAGTATTTGAGAAAATGATCCTTGGCATGGTGTATGCTTTACGTGTGTTCTGAAATCATATCAAGTTATGGAGGCTCACATTTGAACCTGAGGTCGTAACTCGAAATCCTATCCAACTAGACCCTACTTAAACTCTAACGTAAAGTAGTAACATGGTAAAAGACTAAGGTTCAGGGACAATTTTAGGTATCTTATATATAGCCTCTAAGTTTAACAATGAAATCAATTTCTTGTAGTGTATGCTTGTTGGAGATCTCTAATCTTTAGTGGAAGGTATGATTTGAATGTGGGAGATATTAAAGGAACGGTAGGAGATTTTCTCTGATCACTTTCCCCATCATCCTTTTAAGTCCATTCGACCCCGTTGAGTATGTCCTCGATTTGTTAAACTTGCTGCTTGGAATCTCGGACTAACAGTATGTTGCACAATGCTAACTCCAGAAATAGTGTCCTTTACATGACTCCACCTAGAGTTGTAAGTGTACAGCATTCATGAGAGCTTGAAAAATCTATATTGCACAATATGGATGGAAAGTTATTTAGAATGGTAAGGAACTAGTCAAAACGGTTTACACCGTAAGTGTAAGTGATGTAAGCCTAAAGAACTAAACATGTTTATTCTTAATGGATATTAGTGCAGAAATTTAACAAACTTGCAAACCTGTCGTCTCAGCGAAATTTTAACTTGAGCTTGAAGCCTTTCCTCTTAGCCTTCTTTTCATGGCATTCAGTCCTGAAGATTAATCCTGAATTCATATTTTTTCCGAGCTGACGACATTCACTTTTGGCTTTGCTCTTGTGACTTGGAACCAACCATTTGATGATCTTGATGAGTATGGTCGCTTAATATCCATAATAGACTTGTGTATCTTTCAGGGAACAGAGATGACATCTTTGGAATGGTTGACTGCGTAATAAACTGCGGTGCTTCATCGAATCCGACTTGTCGTTCTCGAGAGGAGTCATATTTATATCTTCCAATTGTGGTGAGATCCTTGGATGTGATAAGTGAAGAGGCTATGAATTTTTGTCTGTCGAATCTACAGTGAGTTTTTAAGTAGTAATTTATACAATGTCTGACATTGTTGGTACTAATGAACGATGTCATTAAAATTTCAACGTTTGACTACGACTTGGATATGGAAGATTTAAACGAATTTTTTTGTTGCTTGTTGGCTGTATGTCTGCAGGGTTCAAAAATTGATCGACACTCTTTGCAAGATCACCTACAGGAGGCTCTGTCCTTTGCAAAGCAGAAGCTTAGTTGTCAAAAGACTGTTTTGATCTATTGTTCCACAGGTACCGTTGTTTACCATTCATTGTTTCGGGAAGTTTGTAAGTGCATATCTAACTTGGCTTTTTTCCCTTGGATCTAATGAGATGAATGTGCTGGCAGGTGAAGATATCAGTGTTTGTGTGTGCCTGGCAGTTCTCCTCTCCTGCTATACGACCACAGGTTGGTGAAACGCTTATTTAGAGTTGTCCAGTATGTAGTCACATCAGTCACATGTAGATGGAAGGGTAGTTGAGCTCCATTGAAGTGAATTTGTTTATATATTCTTCTCATGACTTTTCTCGTCCCTATCGTAATTGATGTACGATTTTTTATTTGCAGGAGGATACTCAGGTTCTTCAAACAGTGATTTTGTGGTAACCAAATCTGCGGTAAGGCAGCAACTGATATACCTGTCTGCATTCAACTCTGATGCTCGACCTTCTAGAGGAAGTTTGAGACAAGTATTTAACTTCTTCAATCCAAACGTCGAGAGAGTCTCTCAAGATGTGGATATTGACTAGCTATGTGGAACTGTGATCATCATAAAGAGTTCAATTCAAAGCTGTGCTGGGCAAATTGAGCAGTTTTGTACCATTTATACACCAAATCTCTTCATCCACTTTCAACTCATCTCGCCATCTTGCTCATGCTCTATGCTGACAATACACGAATGACACTCAGGTGCAACTGCTGGAGGTGCTGGCCATACCATGCTATGTTTGGCCAGGACCTCCAGCAAATACTTTTAATATGGAACCAAATCGAACAACCATGGTAAATGCATGGCTGTAGAAAAGGTAAGAAGAGTATAGTAACATGGACGGGACAGCCCGTGAAGTCGTATTGAGATGAAACCTTTGGGTAGTAAAGGGCTAGGCACCAACAGTATGACGATAGGAATACCCAGGAATGTTGTCAAAAGATGAAACCAAAATGGGGAGGATGGTTCTAGTTCATAGTAGCATCACGATCGGAAGGTCTAGTGAAGTTTTGTAAGTATGAAATCAAATGGGTAGATGGGTCTAGGCCTCATAATGTCATATTGCGCCTAAGATGCTTATATGCTAATTATTTAGGTTGTATGATAAACACGGTGCATTAGCATATGAAAATCCATTCATGTGCATAAACCATCCTGTTAGATGGTGACGGAGGGAAAGTCCTGGGCACAAACTCACCATGTGGATACATGTCTTTATTATTGGGCAGAGTCGAGACTGTTTCGATTGACAGCCAGTATGTCGGAAGAGGTGTCATTCTGGCCCCATTTCTCCTCACCTTGCAAATCTTATTGCAAGGAATTGCCGCATGCTTCTGAAGTGCATCCTGCCTCATTCATTTCTCATGTATTTCTAAATGTTGCTAGAGTTGCTGCTGAACTTAGTCATGTTATGTTCATAGTAAGCACTACATGAAATTCGAATTTTCAAAATAGTGCTGGGTGTGGTGATTTCATTCAGCAGAGATAGCGCAGTTGGGAAGGCGTAAGACTGGAGATACAAAGATTGCGTGTTTGTCCAAGCTCACCACAAGCATCATTTCGGAAGCTTTAATAGACTTATTTCTGAATTGAACAATGCACTTGCCTTCATAATACACATTTGAGGGGTTATCCACGTCTATAATAGTGGGACCAGTAGGGCACTCCTACTCCCAAGATGTCCATGATAATATCAATCTGAATCTTTGATGGAGTATGCCTCCTCCTTAATGGTAATATGCCTTAGCTCTAACTCTTTTTGGTTCATTTGAAGCGTCATTTTATTGACTGGAATTGGTGCCTACAGATATAAAGGAGACCTTAGGTATCTCATTTTCTGGTTGAATATGGAATGAAAGCTTTATTTGACAGGAGAAACTTGTGATCTTTATTATGTCCCGTATAATTGTGTTTGCTTTTCAAATCTATATATCTTATGCTTCTGTTCCCTTTGACTTATCATGAGTCTTCAAATTTATTCTTCTTTCTCTACTCAAACAACATGTGCATCCAGAGAATGAATCTTTCAGTGGCTGCAAAAATGTATATCTCTTGGTTTGTGGTCGAATAGAGCAAATTCGGTGACACCGTTAAAGTTTACCTACCCAATGTCTGATTTCATCCCCAGGGGAATTCGTAACACCAAAGTTGAATTCTGTCACCTTTACCCTCAACCTATGATGGTTGAGGTAGCTGGGTTGAGAGATGGTAAAGTAAAAGAAAATGTTTCTGTACAACCACAATGTGAAAACAATTTCAATCATCTTCAAAATCTTCTCCGCAACAGATACATGAAAGTCCACGGAAGAACATTAAACCAAGTTTTTCCGTGGCCCCAAATTCAGTTACGTCTTCAGTCTGTTCGTGCTTGAAGTAAAGAGACATATAGCTGTACATAACATGCTACTGAGAATTTTTAAGCAAATATTTACCGAATTGTCCAATTGGGATGAATATTGATTCAAATTTCTGGCATTGATAGCGTTCTCGAGAAGAGTGGTGATGCTGAAAGTCAAGTAAAGCATCGTGAGTTTGATGAGGCTCACAAGGGTAAGGAAAGGAGAGAGCTCTTCCATGACAATACCCAGAGATATCTCCACTTGCAATTCTTCCCGCCGTCAAGCAAAAAAGGGTGAGAGTTGCTTTTCAAATTTCTGAGCATCAGAAAAACCCCGAACAGTTTGCCCTTGACCTGAATATGTACATTCTCAAACGGTGGAGAGTATTGCTTGGTCCAACCAGGGTTGAGGTTTATGACATGTACGCAGACGATACATTTTTTGCAGTAGATATTTCTGCCGTTCGCTTATGGATTTGGCTTTTCATGTCGATTCCTGCCTATCTCTTCGACAGCGTCTTGCCTTCCAGTGCGAACATAACAAACAGTCAGCAGGATGGCCTCAGAACCTTCCGAGCAATAAAGTGGCAAAGGAAATTGCGGTGAGCGTGGATCGAGCACGCGACCTTCAGATCTTCAGTCTGACGCTCTCCCAACTGAGCTATCCCCGCTGAGGGCCATTCCGTAACCGGGACTCGAACCCGGGTCGCCTGGGTGAAAGCCAGGTATCCTAACCATCTAGACTATCACGGATTGATGTTGGTGTCACTCCTAAACACAATATACCTCAATAAAGTCTTTTTGGTATCTTACCTAAGCAAAGAAACGTTAGTACCACCCACACAGGAGCCAATCCAGCTAGTTACTGAAGAGGTCTGAGAATTCCGGAACATTTCTTTAAAATAGTTGGAAAAACCTAACGACAAACGCATAGTTTATGAAAAGTTTTCCAAAAAATATATAATTTACACATTTATGATTATTTATCACTCTCCGTGATTATATATCTATAGCCCTCACCTCAGTTCATGCCTCATTCTACCCACTCTGTTGATTCCCTCACTCTAGGGTCATCATAGACCGTCATAAATACAAGCAAAATCCTTTGGAAATTTAATTGTTAATTTAATCTCCTGCGGAAATTTGAAGGGCGCACCCATAATGTAACATCCAGGAGCCCAGTCAAATCGACTTATTTTGACAAGATCACACATGCTTCAGATTAAGAAAAAAAAACTTTGGTATGGGAATCAATTTGAAAGAAAAAATGATGAACATAATTTTATTGTTCAGTCTGAATATAAAGAAATGTGTCGTCTAAGTGATTTTTTAATATGATCAGATTTTTTAAGTCTTGTCTTTGTTGTTAGTATCTTCTGTTCAAATTTATAGGACACACAATAATGATGAAATATATCAAATGAAAGTTTATCTCCTGAGTTGAAGTGTTAACTCTTCATTATTAACACTTCAACTTGTTCGCATGAGTTGAGATTCACATGTATTTTCAGGCTCTTATACTTCATCAACTTGAATAGGTTGCTCCTATATGATCACATTCCTTGTGATTTATCATGAAAATATTTATAGCTAACTTTCCTCTTACAATATTCATATAGAAATTTTATTATCAAAATGAAAACTATATTTTTTCAATTTTTTTTAAATTCTTTTTTAACATTAAATTTATAGATAAAATAGATAAGAGCAATGCTAAATGTATAATTGACAACACTTTTATTTATAAAAACATACATTTTTAAAAGTAACATTCAATTTACAATTTACCTTTTTTGATATAAGAAATTAGCCTTAAAGCCAACAAATTCTAAATTATGTTAGCGTTTAAATTTTAAACAAATTTTAAATTATGTTTCGTAAGAAGTCTTTGTTTATTTATTTTCGTATTTCCAATTTATAAAATATTAAAATATTGAAAATTACATGAAATTTATCCTATTAGGTGAAAATATGAATATGAGATATTCATATTTTCACCTAATAGGATAAATTTCATGTATCTTGAGCTATAACACATGTAGTACATGAAATTTATCCTAATGGTTCAACATAGCTCTGATTTGCTCCAAAAATTATTTTCAGTTTAAACAATGATATGATAATTTCCATTCTTAGATATATTTCAAAATTTTCAATATCATCTTTTTCATTATTATTTTTTTTGCAGAAAAATTAACATCGTAATCAATCTTCAGACATTGAAGAGATAAAAATGATAAATTAAATATAACCATCCAATTAAACCTTCATATAAGATATAGATTTATATAAATTACATATAATCATATATATTATAAATTTAAAATAAATTAAAATAAAATATGAAGGAGTAGGAGATTAGTTGCAGAAAAATAAAACTGATCTAAACAGTTGAAATTATAAGTTTCCCATTACAAGAAAAGTTTGAGTCTTCCTCTTGGAAGCACTTTGTTCATAAATTTGTAAACTATTAGAACATTGTATCAATATAAAATCTGTTCTTGAAAAACGTGCCTATTTTATTATAATTAATATAATTTAGTTTGATTGCTACATGTAATCAATCTAATCCTGACATTGAATAATATGCACCGCTTCATCCAACAAAATATTTTATATTGAAATTGATATGTTGATGTTTTTTTTCTTCAAGACTATTTTAAATCCGATTTCCTTTCAAAATAAAGTGTATTTCTTCAAATACGTATACAGTAGAACCTATCTAAGTTAGTACTATCGGGATCTGCGATTCTGGATTTATTTTGGACAGTTTATTGATAAAGAGAGGTTCTCTGTTCACATCATTTGTGCTGGGGCAGTTATTTGCACATTGACTAGAGTCACTTGTTTTGTATGAAAAGCTAAAGTCTCGATGTAACAATGAGACATGTTTTGAGATTGAACCGTATCGAACTCAATAGCGTTATGACGCTGTCGTCAAACCCGAAAGCTGCGCTCCAGAGGAAAAAAATTCAAGATGGCCGTCACTTATGCTTGAAAGTTGCTTCATTTGTAACAATTGCGTTCACCCTGGATAGCAGACACAGCCAATTGCACAACCCAATGGCTTCAAAGAGGTACACCAAGACAAACATGACCAACGAGGTTCAAATAGCTCTTTGTGAGCACAAGCAAAAGCATCCATCGCTGACGCAAGCAAACCTGATCAAATGGCTTCAAGAAACGCATATAGGTTCTCTAAGTCAGGGAACAATTTCTCTAACTCTCAAACGTTAAGTTGAAACCCTTACCAAGAAGGAGGATGTGAATCGAGCGGCAAAGCGACAACAGACTGCGAAATACCCACTGATCGAAACAGCTCTGTACTGGTGGTTCCTCACATATCAAGACCAAGTTGGTCTCCGCCCCTCGCAATCGACGTCATTTCTCTCCACCGTTTATTTCTCTGCAGTGTTTATTAATGTAAAAGAGTTTTGGGACTGCCTATGGAATATTAGTTACTAACGTATGGAGGTTTACTAATAAGTAGAAGGGTCCAACTTGGGTCTGGATTGGATATTTTAGTTATCACAGGTTATTAAGTTATACAGTATTAAGTTGAACAAGTTCTACTGTATATCCAGCAGAATATATTCATGTCAATAATATATTTGAAACAAGATATTTTCACATAAAAAAAAGAAGCTTTCAAGACTTGCAATTAATATTTGAATCAATAGATGATACAATACTTGCACCAACTGATGATTATTACATTTCCTTGTGACACAATAATTATCAATGAGAATGATGATAAATACTATGATTACCTATACTTCTGTGATATACAAGAGTGAGAATTTCAAATACATTTGAAAAATTTGAAATTTTTGATATCCTAGCGATATGATATAAAACTGTTACGTGATTTTTAAATGACTTTAACAATCTTAAAACGAACTTTTTTTAATTTTTTCCTTTCAGCTATATGTTTGATTCATATGTAATTAACTACTCTAAATATTCATAAAAGAATGATGTGATTACATCCATCTGAGTCATAATTAGACCAAGTAGATCAGGTACATTGTGACATATTTTGTTACAAATCAAATTTTTTTATTTTAATTCACATCTTCTTCTTTTTGTGAAAATCTTTGGACATCAACTTTGCGTAGAAAATTCAATGTCTAGTTGAATGTGCTTCAAGGATGATAAAAAAATAACACAGAATCAAAAGTTTTGGATGTAAAGTTGATCAAACCCAAGTGAGTTCCTAACACTTTTTGCTATATTAATCGAATAAATTGTAATTCTTACGGAAATGCACATCTACCTGATTAGTAGTATGGGTTGATAATTTATAACACCCGGCTACCTTTTTGAAGCTTTATGATAAAATCTTCAACAAGAAGTAGCAAGTAGAACAAATTTTTACACTTGACGGCTGGAATCAAATCACAGAGAAATAAATATACGTAAATTCTGCTAGATTTTTTCACTTGAATGTTGGATCACCACATAACATGCCAAGGCCAATTTGATCTACTCTACTAGATGCATCCTGAATTCCAAAGTGAACATATCATTTGTGAAAAATAAAGAACATTTTGTGCTTATAAAATATTGCTCAATAATATATATTAGAAGGAAGTTGAACACTACAAACGTGTTCAACTTCGTGAACACTGCAACGATTGTAGTGAATCTGGAAGGTGTGATAAACATCCACGTCAAACCAACTCCAGATATAGGTCCACTCTTCAACGTATAGAAAAAATCATAGTCTGAGGAATATATCTATTGTTTTAAGAGAAGAAATCGTATAGAAACATGTCGTTCGTTATAAGAGAAGAACTCACAAGAGGGGCGATAAAATCGTCAGATTCTTCCAATCAAGAAGAGATGTGATAAAAGAAAACTCGTAAGTCGGTTGTTTTGGACATCTACTATGGCTCGAGAAACACTCAACCGAACATTTAGTGTCGGACCTGCCTCAGTGGAATCTCCGACTATTGAACCCCGATACAATCTCTCACCGTCATGGTCTGAATGCCGTCTGGAGGACTTAAAAAATACCCAAATATTGCCAAATATTTGGTGCCCGCAAGCGCGACCTTTACGAGCATGTGGACCTAAAGAATGTGCCCTAGGTCGGACATGTGTTTCAACCGTTCGGCTCTTTTTGGATGTGGACGTGGACTCGACATCACAGGTCGTACCTGATGCGGAACAGTCAGCAACGTCGGACGTATTGGCCACGGGAGCTCCCGAATGGCAAGAGCGCACCCAGTGTACAAATCTGGGGAACAACCTCTCGGCAAGATGCTGTGCACATGCGGCGGATGCTCAGCCTTTTCTCATGCAGTGCATTCCGTCCTTTTTGTCATTTCGCTTTTTTATCATCACTCCGAGAAAAAAAAGACCCAAGACCCATCGAGTCGTACGCGGGGAAAGCAGTATCGATCTGACACCCGTTCAGAAGATCTAGCAAGGGGCATTCTCCATTTCCAATTTCCATGCGGAAGATGCAAATGTTACCAAATGTTTGTTTTCGTACAAGCTTAAATCTCCTCGGAATTTGGAGTGAAGGGAACCACTCTCATGTGACGCAGCCGGTGATTGGCTTCGACGATGCGATGACGATGACTTGGAATCCCATGTGTCAGCTCGTGGTTAGCCGGTGGGAACCGGGTGAACCGAGTGCGGTGAACCTCGCCCGGGGGCAACCTCCGAGACCCGACGGGAGGCGGTGCCGGTGAGCCCGAACCGGCGTCAAAAGACGGCAGCCGTCACGCCGAAGGGCAGGCAGGCAGGCCGGCAGAGGCAGCGTATCACTAACTGCGGACGAACAGCAAGAGACAAGGGGCACTGTCGTAGGCGAGTCTTGAGGCCACGGTCGGTCACGTGACAAGGGTTCGCGATGGCCCAAAGATGGTCGAGCATTTATCCGTCCCCCAAAGTAGATCCTCCACCGACCTCCCCTCTATTTGCAGCGGGCCTCACATTCAAAATTTTATATTTGGCAAGTTGCAAGCTTAGCCTCGGTTCGGCCAGATCTACGTTAAGATCTACGTCGATGCCTCCCACCATTTGGACGGCCGCGATGCCGACAGTCTCTGTCACTCGAGGATGGATGGATGGACGGGCGAATCTGTCCGGAGCCATACACCGTGGCCTGTTACATGGCTTTTCGCAAATCTTCGTACTAGTAGCCTCCAACAAGTCCAACAAATGCCTGAAAAATACGTGGTATACGAGACATTTACAAAGGGATGGAAACGGAAGTTTTTAGCGGTACGTACCGATTTTTTTCATCACTCAGAAAGAATAGAAAAAAAGGTTCATTAGAAATGGAAGACAATGACGCAGGGGCTCGTAAACATTATCTACAAACCTGACCGAGGGTCCAGCAGACAAAGAGCGTTCACATAACTTGTGATAAGTCACCATGTGTACATTGGCAACTCTTATATCGCCCTCATGAAATGAAACTCGTCACCACTTTGTTACATGTCGTTAATACGTGTGATAAATGGAGATATAAAATAGGTCTAACAACTCAAAACAATACATCTATCAATGCTAGCGTGGAAATATTTTTTTAGAAATAAACCAATGGTCCAGAAGAATGGATGGGATATGACTTGTACAAGTGTACACCCACTCACCGAAGGAAAACATTGTGGGCAACACCACGCTGATTATCTTCTTGAATTAGTTCCGATGGGAGGGGCTGCCGGAATTTTTTTGCTCCCGAATGATACTCCCGAAAAGAAGTAAAGATAAAGTAGGACGAATGGAATAAATGGCACTCTTAAAACCACATGAATCAAGTGCAAAGAACCAGCCAAATTTTATGCAAAAAACCAACTTTGGGGAGAAGGAAAGAAGAGAGCTAACCTATTCCACGATAAATCACTATGTCAACAAAGGTGTGGCTCTGATGCCTCTTCATTAGTCAATAACGAAGATACAACAAGATAGAACAAGCTGTACTAACCAAATCCCCATCTCTCCCCCAATTGAATAAGCTGAAGAAAAGAAATGAAATAAAAGGAAATAGAAAATTGTTATAAAATAAGATAAAAGGCTGAAACAAAATGCAAATAAACTCGCTAAAGTAAGCTAGCGATAATTGCGGAGAACAATCACGCTCTCTAATCCATCACGCTCTGTAACGAAGAGAAGGAAGACGGTACTTATTTCTCGGTCTAGAAGGCGTTCTGAACCCATGAGAGGGACCCAGGTCTGTCAGAGTGAGTCCGCCGGAATCACGTTGATGTGCTATCGCAACTGCGTTGAAAGCCTGACGTGGTCGTCGCCAGGCTGCGGACCGTGACCACCCAAAGTGCGTTTCTACTGTGCTATATGTAGGAAGGAAGGATAGAGGGAGAAGGACACAGTCAAAGTCGCAGCGAAGCCGCCGGACCTCGTCCGGTGGGGCGGCGTCGATGTCCGCGATCGACCCGCGGGCGGGCGGGGACCGTAAATGTCGACATTCACATTCACCGGAGCTGCGTCCTGGGCCCTGCCCGAAAGTCTAGCTAGCAGGGCTGGGCACTGCAGAGCTGGCGGGCCTGCCTGCCTGCTCGGCGATGTGATGTGGTCCATGCTTGCTGATCGAGGAGGAGGAGGCAGCGAGGGAAGAGTGGGTGGGCGGGCGTCCGTCGTCCTTGCGAAGAAAGTGGCCTCCCTCGATGCTGTTGAGTTGCCTCCTTCGTAGCATACGTCGTCGACCCCGGATCTCTTGCCCTAGCGGAGCAATTGCTCGCCAAACTGCTGCTGCGTCTCTTAATGCTTGCTCCGGTCCTGGAGAGATCTTTTTTCGTGCCTTCGTCGCTCAGGATCCCACGCGCAGCAATTTGTTGTCTGATCGGGTAGTGGTAGACGTCGAGGGAAGTGGTGTGGAGCGCAGTGAGGTGAGGTGAGGCGAGGCGAGGCGAGGCGGACGAGTTGGGTGGGAGGGGAGGGGACGGAGGCTTGAGCAGGACGAGTCGTAGGGTTGGGTGCATGTAAGAGGCTGGTGTTTAAAGAGTGGGGTGTTTTTTTTGAGCCCCGCTTGGGGGCGGGGATTTAGGGGCAGAAAAAATGGCACAAAATGGCAAGCCGATGCCGGTGTTGGATCAGCAGAGCACGCGCGAGCTTAATTTGACGGTGCTGCAGCGCATGGATCGTCATGTGGAGGATATTCTAACCACTGCAGCTCATGTTACCTTCTACGAGTTTAATGTCGAGCAAAGTCAATGGGTCTCTTTTCTTACCTCTTCTCAGTCTTATAGAATTTGCACTTGGTCTCAGTTCATAATTCTAGCATCAGCAGGGCTTAGTGATTTCATGGCAACAAACTTGCGTGGCCAACATTGCCACTTGGAAGTAGGGTTATAGAGAGAGAGAGAGAGAGAGAGAGAGAGAGAGAGAGAGAGAGAGAGAGAGAGAGAGAGAGAGAGAGAGAGAGAGAGAGAGAGAGAGAGAGAGAGAGAGAGAGAGAGAGAGAGAGAGAGAGAGAGAGAGAGAGATTTTTATTGTTAGTATGTCAGCCTTGAGCACTTCAACATTCCGGCTACACGGTGTGAGGGAATGAAGCGCTGATGCACTTTTGATGTATGCATTTCTATTGCAGAGCCGCAAGGATGTGGAAGGCTCTCTTTTTGTTGTGAAACGGTAATAACGAATACACTCCGTAATTTTCCCCAGCAAGTTAATGATGCTTTGTGTCACGCCCCTTTGAGTTTTTTTTTCCTTCGTTTTTTTTTTTTTAAATAAAAATTCTGCTTTCCTGATGTACCACCTGTTCCTTCATCTCTAGGCGAACACAACCTCGGTTCCAGTTTATCGTTATGAATCGGCGTAGTACAGGTTCGCGTCTCCAACTTTTCTCCAACTTCTTACTTGCCCACATTTTTCAATGAAATCTCAACGATCAGTTACGTATGCAGAGACTCAGGTTTCATTCAAAATGATAACTGAAAGGACCAGGAGATGGGCTTAGAATAAGATTCCGGTTTTATTTTCGTTCCGCATGGTCACTGTGAATCTGAACGATTTTGGCTTTACTTCGAGGTCTGAAACGTACAGAGTGGTCGTGGTTCTCCATCTAGAATTGATACACTACCCTGGTCATGGATGTTCTCTATAATTCTATGATGTCTCCTACATCTGGAAATTCAGGTGACATGTTTAACTGTGCATGCCCTGTGCATAGCCATTCGCCTGATGCCCTGTATGCTGTTAGCAGAAAATCTTGTTGAAGATCTTCTTGGTGACTTTGAGTACGAAGTGCAAGTACCATATTTGCTGTACCGGAATGCCGCCCAAGAAGTGAATGGCATCTGGTTTTACAACTCAAGGGAGTGTGAAGAAGTGGCGAAGCTCTTCTCTAGGTGTCATTTCTCTCCTTCTCAAGCTCATCCATCTTCACACAAATGGTGCGGACTTGTTTATAGTCCTAAGTCGTAGGATAATGGTCAATGTAAATGCCCGCCTGACGACGAAGAGAATTGTTGTTGCCTGCAGTGTCTTCTACGGGGGACGTCTTATCCAAGAAGTTAAATGTTATGCTGACTAACTTTATGCCCTTCTTGTGTAGGATCCTAAATGCCTTCTCAAAAATTCCGCCGAAGCCCAAATTGTACGCTTCTCCGAGGTTATTTTCTTTCGCAACTTTCTTAACAAGCACTCAACGTGCAGGCACTGATTTTTCTAGTACATATTGATTTTCAAATTGAATTTTTGGCTTGATACGGCAGTGATGTGCTCCGACCTTCTAAGTACATCTGGATATTAAAATGCTCTTCCTTCTCTTTTATGTGTGCCGAGTAATATTTGTTCAGGGACGTGCGCATTTTCGAATTCATATTTACGCAGCCATATGCACGAGAACAGTGTACTGGTTTGCCTAAGTTCAGAAAGAAAAATTTGCAGCAACTTGTTTCTTACCGAAGTTCGCGGAAGATCCTCCCTGGACCAATACATACACATTATACGTTACGTATAGTATTTACACGTAATCTCGACCGCACATTTCCTAAGCCTGTCAAAAGCAGATAGATCAGCAGCACGTCTTCAAACTGCCATTCGGAATAATGCAAACAGTGAAATATTCAGCTTGCTAGTTGAGTACTGGTTTGATAGCCGTTATTGGATATTGTCCACAAGGCGTTTGGGATCACGATAGGTTTTCCCACGTAGCCGTCATCTTGGGCTTCTGAATGACATCCTTTACCCTTCTCCTGGTTTCATATCGAGGAGCTTTAGCTCACACTGAAAAAATTGGAATTTCAGCTGGTTAAGTTAGTAGAGCGCAGGAGGTGAATATTCTCATTGCGGGCAGGAAAAGGAGTGGTATCGTGACCTCGGGAGGGAGAAACTTGAACACCAGGCTGGGAGTAGTACTGGAGAGAAGAACTAGTTAACTCGTACTTGCCCCGTAGACAGGTTTTGACATGTATAGCAGCTAGATTAACGAGGGGCACATGGTGATGTGGTTTTTTATCTTGCATCCGGGATTTCTCTGTTCGAAGTCTACTTAGTGGAAGAACTTCTACAATGTTTGTTTCCCTTTCTATGCACTGTATGATTCTAGCAACTAGGGAGAGCATGTGATCTGTTCTTTTCTTGACTGTGAAGAGCCAATCGGCCAGAGTGTTAGACTAAAGTCAGACGTTGAGCACTTTTTAATTGCTCTCTCCTTCGTACTTGAGGGACGTGCTCTCAGAAAAATTAACCTACGCACACCCTTTTTCGACAATTATGCTATCAAAGCTTAGCTTAGTGTAGTTCGTTGATCTTCCGATCTGAATTTTATCCAGTATTTACACTCATGAATATTTAGTACTGCCCATAGTTGGTCACAAGATAGACCCTTGCTAAAATGAGGATATCATTGGAGCACGTTTCCCAACTGGAGATTGATCCCTTTCTACTGTGCGTTTGAGCTGGAAAATTGTTTGATTTTCCACACAATGCGTGTATTCTTTACTTAGAAGGAAGAGGACCTGACCTTTTCTCTTCAAATGTTTTGTGATACCGTGGAGATTTACAGGCTTTCATGATAAAGAATCATTCCTCATTCTGTCGGTGCAGTTAGCAGCCTGATTTGTTTTACTGCCAAAATGGTTGATATTTGTCCGATAGAAAATCTATTACGCGTGCTCACTTTCTTCTCGAAGAACGCTGGTCTTCATATTTTCTTACGTCCAGTATGAATGAGATCAGGTTTTCCAATGATTCTGAAGATCCGCATCGTTTCACTAGGCCTTTGATTTAAAATCTTGCGTCGTAGGATGCCGAAATCGGTGGTTTGTTTGTATTCTTTGGTCAGGCTTACGTTCGTAAGATGTACCATACATCGTCAAGATACTATGAATGCAAAGGACTCAAAAGTGTTGGTTCGAAGTTTGAAGGCTGAGAATGTGAGTTTTAATCTCAAGATGCGTCAGAAGTATACCACTACTGTCAAGAGAGGAATTCTGGGCTAACTTTATTGAGGTTTGTTCGTTTTGACATTTGTATGCAGTTCTGAGTTTCAAGAACTCGAAGCAGTTCCTACAGCTGCCCTTGTAGAGGGGCCTTTGGAGCCTTCAGCTCCACCTCAACAAACGGCATCGGAAGTTTTGGAAGAGCCTCTGGAGCAATTCTTCAGGGTCATATATCTCTACCAGCCCATGCTCTTAACTAACAAAAGCTTACATTGTCTGTTGTCGTTTTTTCAAGAGCTTTAACGTTTCGTAGACGATCTGTTCCAATTGGGAATCGAATAAACAATCAAATTATTAAATCCAATCTAGTTGCTGTACAAAAATCACATGGTTACCAGTCTCATAGTGGTTCATGTCACCGGTTTAGGGCATCCAACGAGAATGGATTTACTGACAACAATCTCAAGTACCGGCACTCTAACGGACACTACTTACTTCTCAGTTACTGTCTTGTCCATATGGTTATGGTCGAAAACTCTTGTGTATTCTCGTTTATTCATGGTGTCAATTACGAGCTACCGTTGGTAAATATAGTCAAGAGATTTAGTGTAATCATTCTATATTACTGAACGAGTTTTAGAACTTTGAGTTTAATTTCTCTCTCCTTGTTGAGAATCCTAGCACTGATGAAACATGTGGACGTGCAGAATGCAGTACATATTGGCAGCCCTGAGACCTCGGCGTCTACCTCTGCTCGACCTCCTTCTGCTTCACATGCTTTGTCTGTACGACCTGCATCTGTGACCTCCCCCAACCTTACCCCGATGCCTGTACCTTCCCCTTCTCCTCCATCTACAGGAATTCCCCACACGCACACCCCTATGGCTCCACCTCTGTCTTTGGAAGTACCTGATTTTGGAGGACCTATCCTCCTGAAACCTTCATACTTTGTACCACCACCCCTCTCTTCTGCTCCTGCAGTCACCCCGCTTGTTCCGACATCCATTTCTATGCAACCATCACATGGCGCACCTTTACTGCAGCCATTTCCTCCCCCAGCCCCACCACCTTCTCTAGCACCTGCTTCTATCCCTCACGGTTTATCGATTACGAGGGATGGGGTCCGTGACGCACTTTTTCGCTTGTTTCAGGTATGGATTTTTTGTTTCATTATTCCTAGAATATCTCAGCTCCGGTTTTCGTATGCTCTCTCATGTCCAAATTTTTACGAAGGAGCACTTTTCGTCATAGAAGGGCACAACCGTTGTCAAGCTGCAATCAGTTTGGCATATTTTTAAACATTAGTATCTCTGTTGTTGTAGTACCAGTTATTTTATATGGAGCTGTGTCCCTTCAAAGTTCTTATTCTGGTATTCGTGAGTTCTTTCACATTTTTAGTGCCGTTGTCGATAGTGTTTCGAAATGGATGGTCTATCAACATGCCTGCTTCTTGCCTCATCAAGATCAGGTCTTGATGAAGCAGATCTGATAGTTAGATTAACGCTCTTTGTCGTCTGTTGGTCTTGCGATGTGCAGAACGATCATTTCATCGACATGGTATATCGGGAGATGCTCAATGCACATTCAACATAGCACTGGACAAATCAGTATTATACTATAGTTTGGGACGTGTGTGTTATAGACGGTGTTGTGTGATACCTCATTGGTAAGAGTTTTTTTTCTGTAGATTGCTCATTTATGTCAGTCAGCTCTGAACTAAGCAGCTTAATCTGAGCAAGATTCGCACGTAGGATGTACATCAAAGTACTGGTTTGTCTTGCTCCCCGTTTCCGATGACATATTTGGGGAAAAATGTAGGACCTTGTGTACAACATGTAGGCCAGTTTTGTTTATATTACAAGAATGTGAATTTAATGGGTGAAAGGCTGGATTCTAGTTCACGCAGCACAACCGACCACTTGAAATAGCTAGTTAGTAATGAACACATCTGTTTTAGAGACAACTGGGGTTAAGTAGGTCGGTGGTCAAGTCTGGCAGGGTGGTAGAAAAAAAGATAGATTTTTTAAATACTTTTAAGCCGATCAGAAGGAACATATCAGAAGTGGCTCTGTCTGTGGTGCTGAACGTAGGAAGAATCTTTGTACTCCGTACCATAATTGTGTAACATTGGAGCTCATCTGTAACAAGTCTCCATTTAAGCTGTAGCTTCGTCGACATTGGTTGGAACTTCACAGTGACTGGTGAAGTGAAGAGATGGGGACTGTCCAGTCACATGCAGACTAACTCCGCAGTTTTGTAAATTGCACTTCTGTAACCTGGCAAAGCTGTGGGAACTTTGCTAAAAGTTCTCATTCCAAGCTTTGTTATTTAGCTTTTTGGCGATGTAGTGGACGACTTATTCAACTTTTCAATTTGGAGTGATGTTATACCAATTTCTCCTTATAGCACTTGCAGTCTCCAACTCCTTACTAATTGCCGTGGACATCAAGAGTTGTCGCAGAGCAAATGGAGAGGATTTTGACTCGTGTCGGCATCCTTCTTTCTCTCCGTGCTCTTTTTCACGACTGTTATTCTCTCTGCTCTGGTTCGACTGCTCTGGTTTTCTTCCCGAGTAGACGGATCTGTTTTTTCCAACTGGTCAGCTTTGACCTACTTAGCAGGTGAGTTTCAAGCAGTAACGTTAAAATTAATGGAGGACATGACTGTTAACGTTGTCTGTCTCGATTTTAACACATGACCACGTTCGAAGAGGGGGAATAAGCTGGATCACATGCTACCGTATCATCTTCGCGAAGGTCTATTTGCCACATGGAGATATTTCCTCGCACGACTTTTAACGCCTCCACTGAAATATCTTCTGCGACAACTTATTCGTCGATGTCATCTTGACAGGTCCAAAAACTTTGAGAAGAGTTGTATCTTTCTTAGTAATCACAACGGCGCTCAGGATTACTAACGATGTTCTGGAACCGTTGTCAAACTATCCGGTCCCACGAAGTGAAGGTCTATAAGAGGAGTACAAAATCACCAAATCCCCGAACTTAGAGAGTGTTCCTGAGTCCACGGTGAATGCATGTCGCTTGAAGATGCACTATTGAAGGGGTTTCTTGTCGAGGTTATCATGTAATTAATGTTTAGTTGATAAAAAGAGAGTAACGTTTATTTGTAACGAAAAAATCTAATATTTACTACTCGCTTGTGACTATAAAGAAACGGCCTGCACATAAGTGATTGGACAGAGAGACGGGATAGTGGTGTGCAGTTCAACTTTGAGCCAAATGAAAGAAAAGATAATGACTGAAAGGTTAAATTCGACAGCTTTGGTAAAGCCATGAGTAGTAATGTAACATTTTCATACCCCTCTTACACTCTTCACCATTGTGTATGATCTCCATCTGCAAGTTAGATGAAATATTGCACAAATTTATACTAAAGATAACTTATATCTGACAAACTTACAGTTACATGTAACTGTTATACATACCATGTATGAGATGAAAGCGTCTCAAAGTTCACAAAACTGATATATAATACTGGATTGTAATCGTTAGTCAATTTACAGGAAATGAGTGTTTGGCAAGGTTACGTCCGAAAACACAAAAAGGAGATAATCCTATCTGCTTTGTGGATGAAAAGAGATTTAGAAAAAAGGAAGGGAAAGAGAAAAATCCATAAGCTGTATCTCAATCATATCTCAGTGATATAAGTTAGGGTTACAACAAGCTTTTGTATATCGTAGTAGGCTATCTAGTATTACTTGCCATGAGTATACTAGCTAGAGCTAATCTGAGTTAACAATCTCGATATAATTGGGGATTATTACCTTCAACATGTGATTAATTTATGAAATATTTTAGGAGACCAGACATACGGTTCTTCTATAAACTATAATTAATTAGAACTGAGCTAAAGTCATATGTAAAAATAACCTAATATCTAGTCTATTCTGTTTGTATCCATATGTAAAATTTGCAATCTTACATAATCTCAGAAAACTCTTAACATTAATCACTTTGAATAAATCATATGCAGGCTTGAGTTTAATCTCAATCCTAAATAGCTAACTTTTTTTATCGAACAACTTTTGTTTTAAAAGTGATATTTTTTGCCAATAAACTTTAATCTACTGTTCATAATTTGACTCAAAGCCAACTGTATAGCACTTTGAATATCAAATGAGAGATTCACAATTTCATATGTAAATCTCATTTTCTACTCAAGAATATCAAAACAAATGATGTCTTCTGGGGCTTTGCTTGCCATTGCGCTCTCAACCCAACTTCACCCATCTCCAAATGTAAACACATATCAAGTAGTAGATTCTGTCATCCATATCTTCTTTAAAGTTAGCATCTAATTTATCAATTACTGAGTTGACATTCTATAATTTTACATCAAACAGATGATGAAATTCCAATGTGATCTCAGAATACACTCCAACTTGACACTGCCTTTGCTATGAGCAAAGGCAGTGTCAAGTAGTGTGGAAGTGATCAAACAAGACTTCTTACTCCCTTGTTGCAAGTAATATAGGACATTAAACTTTTTTCCAAGTCATTTAATGAATAAAGAGTTGATGAAAGTTTGAAAAAAGAAACCAAAGAACTAGTAATAGACTTGGAATTTCTTCATGTTGACTATTGCAAGAACTCTTCTGGCAATATGTTGTATGTTAGAACTTTCAATATTTCAAGTTTTTTTGGTACTCCATGCTAAAATTTGTCCTTGCTGCAAAAAGATATTTTATTCTGATTTCAAAACATCAGAAATTTGTAAGAGTGTCAGCATTAATTTAAAGAACCAGAAGGATTTTAAAGATCCGCAAATCATATCCTTTTTTTTCTTCCCAAATCTATAGACTATTATATGAAGTTTTAAAACTTGTAAAGGTTTTTGGAAATCCTAATAACTTGAATCAATTTTTTTTGAAATCTCAGCAACATATAAGATATGTAGGATTAGCTAGACAGTAGTTAAAAAATGAAAAAATGTACATTTTTTTAATTTATCAAAGTTGAAGAGTGAAATTCAAATATAAATGCAATGTGAATGATTGTTAGAATTCTAAGAGATTTCTGATTCATATATTATAACAGTCAAATTTTGTACTTCTTAAATTTATCTTCACATTAAAATCAATTACTAGATCAATCGATCTAGTAAATAGATCAGCTTTAAATTCAAATAAAGCTGAGATTTTATTTTAAATCATTAAAATTGCAAGACAGTATCGATTATCAAAAGTTTTCATCTATAACTTTTGCAACAAAAAATTTTGAAATTTAAAATTTTCAAATAAAATCTGGATGATAAATTCATATTAATGTGATATTGATTTAAGCTACAACTCAAAAATTATAGTAAAAAATAAGTCTGAAGTAAGTTTTTTTGATGCATTTTATGATAAAAAAATGAAATTTTTGAAAAATCTTGAAAGTTTAAATTTCATAAGATAATTCTATCATATTTCTATATGATTATAATTATATGTAAAGTTATACATCAAATACATCAATTGATAAAAATTGCAAGGTTTTCATGCTAAAAAGATTGGTTCTATCGAACTGATCATTTTGAATAATGAATTGAACAATAATTCAATAATAATTGTTACATGTTTTTTGCAACATACTTGTACAATCTTTGAATAAAGCAATGTTCATGTCGCAATGTTAAACTTGATGAAATTGATGATTGACAATATAAGATTACTAATAGATTAAATTTATAGAAATGTCATATATTAATTAAAAATTGAATCAAATTAAAATATTTTTAATGACAAATTAATGGATTTAATACAAATTAATAACAATAAAAAATTGATTGAAATAAGTAAATTAATAAATCATCACTCTTCATCAAGATTTTGCAAATTGAAAGGAAAAAATAATATTATCAATATGCTTTTAAATCTTTGTGCTATTGCAATCTATGGTGTAATTTATTAGCTTCAAATACTTGTAGTATTTTTAAAATTCATCAATACTGTATAGTAATTTCTTACATTTTTTATAGAAACTGTAATAATTTATATAGTTCAACTACTTGATGACATTAAACCTTAGATGACATATTTTTTTTTCATAATAATATCTATTTCATGCAGATTTATTTAATCATACTTTGATAACAATAAAATCTTTGTTTTTTTAATACTTTTAGAACGGTTAGTTTTAAAAATTTATTTTTTCACATCATACAGAGTATAATCAATTCATGTAATTACTCATATAATAACATCAACTGATATAATTACTCATAATTCTTAGATCTTAATTATCTTATCTAGATCTTAATTTTATTATCACAAGTATGATTTTTTTATTTTTTGATGAATTAACAAATTGATTAATAGTGACGTTTATTGATTATTTTTATTAATTTTTAAAAAGGTTAATAATTGTGAAATTTTATAAAAAACAGATAAATATTTAAAAAATTTACTATATAATTCAAATATAATATTTTTTTCAATTTTGAATATATATATATATATATATAAAATTAGAATAAAAATATTCAATAAGATGTTAATTTTAATATTTTATAAATTATTTGATTATTTATGTGCATATAATATTTATAAAATGTTATAAAAAAAAATTTGAATCTTATATTGCAAGATCTATTGGACATTTCTATCTTTTTGAAGATTCGTATAATATATATTAGATTTTTTTGAAAATTTTAAATAATTTCTATGTTCGATACTTGTTTAATTACCGATTATTTAATATAATGGATTATTTAATTTTTATTTAATAGAATATAATATTTTAATATTATTTAAAAAATATGTTATCTTATTTTATTAATGATGAAAGCTTTATTTTAATTTTAACCTATTATTTGAAATTGAGTTCTTTTTTATATTTAAATCAAGTTCAAACATGATTGAGAGGTAAGCCAGGGACCTCCGGGTCTGTTTCGTAATCTTTGGATGGTCCAAAATGGTTTGTACAAGTAGGTAAGAAACTTAAGAAGGGCCAATTAGAGTTCTCGCCCACGCGAAGAATTGCAAAGCCCTGCAAAAAGGAGATTTATTGCAATATGAATATGTCAGCAGCAGCTATTACAACTCATGCCATATTTTATAAATTATTTTTGTTGTCTCCAATTTGAATAGAGATAATGTATAGAAGCTAAGCTCTTAATTACACTCTAAGTGTAACATGGTGGAAAATGCTATATACTGAAACCTGATCAGTATCATGAACTATGAAATATCATTTATCTATAAGATCTCGCTGAAACTTAGTAACTTTGGACCTCAAATCCCATTATCACATCAACAGCCTGAAGATGTCCTAAAACTTTTTTCTAACAGTGTATTTTGTAGTTTTAATGAAACAAATCATATGGTATATCATAAAATCTTCAAATGGTATTTGAATATTTATCAAATATAAGTTTCAATATAAAATTTTAACTCAACTATAATTAAATCAATATTTATGAAAAAAAGGATGATATAATCTTATTCTACATTCTTCATTTGGTACAACATGTAGCATGTGATAATATAACTGGATTACCATGTTCTTCCCTTGGTGCATATAACATAATCAAGTATTCATTAAAATAAATCGGAATGTGAAGCAAGTTTCAAAAATTCCTAGTTAAGGTATCACTTTATTTATTGATCGGAAAGCAGGTCAAAGGAGGAAGGATTTCAGACCAAGGGAGTTAGGGCGGTTTTTTTTCCCCGGAGCTGAAAGAGAGTTAAACGCAGAAAAGGTCAAGAGCAAGAGCAAAAGGGAACTGAGCGCCATGAAATGATTGATAACGGGGCTTTCTCTAAAATCGTTATGCGAGAAGGCTCCAAAGTCCAGAATATCTGCAGGATAAGGATCGCTAGTCCGCAGGCTCTGATAGGCTGCGAGATATTCAGTCGCGAGTCGCGCATGCTAAGTGCATGGAACGCTCGCACTCGGAGTCCACCTGTCGACCGCCGGCATCCCCAAACAAGCAGAACCCCGCGACCGGCTCCGGCAGTCACCTTATCGCCATCCGTGCTCCCCATTCACAGCCGATAGCCAGTCCCACCCGCGCAGCAGATGACGCTCCTCGGCCACGCGGAAGCGGACGGCTACGATACCATGCGTCGGCCAATCCGCGCCAGCCCTCTTCCGTCCACGTGGCGACCCGAGAACCAGGCCACTCCCAGCCCCTGCCCCGGCGCGTCCACCTCAGGTTAGCCCCGCTGCACCCCCCTCCCTCTCCAGGTGGCTGCCAAGCCCCGCGACAAAGCCCCCAAAGGGAAGGCGGAAGGGGAAAGGGGAAAGGCGAAAGGCGAGGGGTAGAGACGGGAGCGTCGAGAAGCGGAGCGCAAATATTATCTTGTAGCGGGTGCAAGATCAAGCTGCGGAAATCCATGAGCACGCGGCCGTCGATTGGCGCAGTTTGAAATCGATCTCGTGGGGTCAGTCCTCCAGTCGCCCATTGCCCCTGCCCCAGTCCCCTAGGCTGCCTGAAAGTTGCCGGTGCCCCTTTTCTTGCTATTAGCCTCATCTGCTCGCGGCCTCGAGCGGAGCCCGGTTTTGTTGTTGTTGTTGTTGTTGCTGCTGCTGCTGCTGAGGAGCGAGGAGCGAGGGCGATCTGTCTTTCGAACGATCGATTGATCGGGAGATTTCCGAGACATGGCGTGCGTGGCAGCCGTAGCCGGAGCGTCCGCAGCAGCCGTGAGCTCCGCGGCCGTGTCGCGCAGCTCCGTCAGCTGCTCTGCGTCCTCCAGCCCTCTGCTTCTCTGCAAGAGAACCGTCTTCGGAGCTGCTGTCAGGAGTAGCAATGCTTCCCGGAGAGGTAAGGGCTCGGCGCATGTGGAGCTGCTTACCACTTCCCTGCCCGTGGAGTCGGTTTTGGTTTGTGTGTGGTTTGTGGCTCTGGTGTCGTGGCAATGGAGTGAGGTAGAATTCTTGGCGCAATTCTCGTTTGGGGATGGTTCGAGAAATTTCCCTTCTCGAATTGGGTGGAGAATTTTGCTGCAGTGTGTGCAATCACTGCTGGGTGCGTACATTAACACCACGTCTTGACGGCCATGGCCTGCCCCCTCCATGGTCGTCTGAGTCGGTTGCATAGCGAAGAATTCTTCGTGTTTGGGAGAACGGCATTAACATTGCTCTGCAACCTAGAAGGAAGAGTTGTGAAGCCCACCCTGAACAATGTCGAGGGCAGCGAGGGATATCTCATGGGGCCTGCCTGCACCATGTTAAATTATGTGAAGCGTGTGGTCTGTGTTTGCTCTCAAACCCTTTGCTTGACTCTTGGAACCAAGTGTGGTGGGTTTCTCTTCAGATTGATGCCCCCGAGTTCGTACGTGCTTGCGTACTGATCAGCATTATCTTTCCGCTGTAGGGTCCTTGAGATTGCAGCCCCTTGTTGTGAGGGCAGCCTCATCAGACGAAACTTCTGACCCCTCCAAGCAGCTCGATGACGTCGTCGGTGATCTCAAGGCTAAGGTATGGTAGTTTGTGGCCTCGTGCTTAGTGTGCTCAGGAGCGATCATTAGCATACCCGTAATGCAACGGACTGGGACCATCTAACCAATGGTTAATGTTTTTTTCTTTACAGTGGGACGCCATTGAGAACAAGTCTGCCGTAGCTGTGTACGGAGGTGGTGCCCTGGTTGCCCTATGGCTGTCTTCCACCATCGTTGGTGCAATCAATTCCGTTCCTTTGGTAAGTTCCTTGGCCCAGGTTTATTAAAGTGCCTTCGTCGGCTGTCGTGCCATCTTCGTTAAGGAAGCGATGACCTCGGCGACTAACTGAATGTGTCTTGCTCCTACAGTTGCCAAAGCTGATGGAGTTGATCGGTCTGGGATACACCGGATGGTTTGTGTACCGATACCTTCTCTTTAAGGTAAGACATGATTGCTTGCTTTCCGATCTGGTTTATTATAAAGGTCCAACGGCAAATAAACATATGCATTGTTTCACTACTCACCTCAAATAATCATTGAGTAGAGCTAATAGAGTTGAATGGGTGCAGTCAAGCCGAAAGGAGCTCGTCGAAGATATCGAGGAGTTGAAGGGAAAGATCACTGGCGCTACCAACTCTGTGACTGGAGAATCTTCCGCCACCGACAAATGAAAATAGATCACTCTTGGATAGCTTCCGTTAGTTATCCGTGTATTTTGTAGGCTTACAGACTTGTGTCAATATCATGCATATTTGTGTAGAGGATACATGCGCCTCAAATCTCGAACGAAGCGCTGTGTCAAATCTTCGATTTCAACATTCTGGAAAGTGGTTTCGTCGCACATTGTGTCGGGAGAGGGTGGGCGAATGTTCTATTTACATTTTTTCCTGTCAATTTGACGTCTGTACAACTTATTGTTAAAGCAAGTACAAATGATTATACAAGCCAATGGCCAATAATGAGAAATGTGGGAGTAGTAGACGGAACATGCAAGGACCAATCACTACGCATGTTAACGGGCAGTAATGAGAAAAGAGAGAACGTAATGGTGCATGGAATGACAACGAATGCAAGACTGAAAGGAGATAAAGAGCAGCATGTGTACAGTAACTATGATGAAATAGTTTATACCCTCAAGAAATAAGAATATGTAAAAATTTACACATGGAAATGGCCAATGAGGGAAAATGTGAGGGAAGGAAAAATCAAATATATTCTCCGATTGTTGAAAGATGTAATCAGAACGAGGGATGAAGGAAAAATACAGAAAATCACAAAAAATACTATCTCATTCATTATTATAAATTAATTCATTCAGCAAAAGAGAAAGAGAAGGAAATAAACATAAATCAACATTTACATACACAAATCTGCAAAAATATGAAAGAGAAAAATAAAATTTTCCAATCACAATTCTGAAGATAAAAATTGCATTCCAAAACCTGACAATTGTTTGACATCGTTCACATCAATTAAAGCACCATACTTTTATCACTCTCAACATGACCAATTCCTCACAACTGTCATCCCTCACCATACATGGTACGAATTATTTTATCGCTTGACCTTCTCCTTCATGATTAATTTATAGAATAAAAATGTGCGCACAGCTCATTTCTAAATCAAAACTACAAATCCGATTCTGGTTCGACGACAGCAGAAACTAGAGCCTACACCAGAATATTTCTCGTGCTCCTCGCTTATAGCAGACACCAGATGTGGGAGAGCTACAAGCGTGTAATGGTTACAGCACTAAAAGAATTTCGATAATGATCGATCTGAACTAACGAGTCTCAGAAACTGTAGAAATGTTTCACGGACATGGGTGAAACGTCTACGGATTGCACGACCTCGGCAGCCTGCGGTGAGTTATCACCCGCCTGTGACTGGCGTTCGCAAAATGCGATATCGAATATTTCGCTGTAATTGTCAACAAAATGAACTTCGATACCTTCTTTCACATGAGCTGGAAGCTCGTCAAAATCGCGTTGGTTGGCACTGGGAAAGATGACAACCTTGACACCGCTCCTCCTGGCTGCTACTGTCTTCTCTTTTACCTGAACACATCACGTAGGACATAAGATCTCGTATTCTACTCATCCCTCCATCCATGTCGGTCAAATGTATTGGAGTTGTGACACACAATGTGGAACTGTGGTCCTCGGCAGCATTAGAAAAATGGTCAACACAACTTCAAAAACTTCATCATCACAGCGTGATAACAACCGACTCAACTTCAAAATTCAGGACAAAGTTCATGGTTGAGAATCTCTTATTTTGAATCCCCTGCACAATACAGGCCATCAGATCCAGCTGGCAGACGAATTGATCAACCTAGGAGAAGAATCTTACCCCGCCGATCGGAAGGACACGCCCTGTCAAGGTAACCTCTCCAGTCATGGCAACATCTCTTCTCACTGGTTTATCAATAGCCAATGATAACATCGACGTGATCATAGTGCACCCCGCACTTGGTCCGTCTTTCGGAGTAGCACCTGCAGGAACATGCAGGTGCAGTCTAGAATCTGAAAAGAACGAATTATCGGGCTGCTTTTCGCGCAAAATTGCTCTGGCCACTGTATGTGCTATAGTCGCACTTTCTTTCATGACATCACCCAGTTGCCCCGTCATTTGAAGCGAGCCTTTGCCTGCGTTCTGTTCTATCACCCTGGTCTCGACATACAAAGTGGAGCCTCCCATAGCAGTCCAAGCGAGACCCATCACAACACCAAGAGGAGTCTGGTCGTAGAGTCGGTCACTTTGAAATACCGGGTTGCCGACGTAGTCAGCAAGATTTGAATCATCAACATACAAAGCTTCTATGGGAGTCGATTCCTCATTTTTCTTTGTAACTTTCGAAGTCTGCAAGTTAAGATTTTCGTCACGTGATGTCATGTTACTTACAAAAGATAACCGTGTTTCTTCAACTAGCTTGATTTCAAAAACAGAATTACATGCCCCGAGAACAATACAATTGAAAATTGAAGTACCTCAGATTCACCATCTTCAGACAGGGTTGTGGCTGAATCTGTTGATTTCAAGGTTGCAACTTCTCCGCTGTCTAGTAGCTCTTCTATAATTCTTTCTCCATTCGATTCTGTTCCACTTGCGCTCTCGGCAAGCACGTTAGAGTTGTTGATTTTTCCATTCTTCAAAAGATCACTTCTGACCAACTTCAGTGCAATCTGATAAGAAGGGCCCACAAGAGGTTCACACATTTCAGCAGACTGATTGAACTGAAAACACTGGTCTAGAACACCAGTGTGCCCATAATTCTCTTATCCAGACACTCAACCTTGAAAGCACGTCAAAACTGACAACTACTTTACCTTTCGATATATTTTCTCAATGTGCTTCTGAAGATTTCGCACTCCTGCCTCACGGCAATAGGTTTCTATCAATGTGTGAAGAGCACCATCTGTAACTTCCACCTGCCAGCAAGGAATGTCTTAGGATTGAAGCCACATTATATCCTCAAAGAAAAGTCTTTGAAGTCCTCAACTTCAACCACAATCACTTGGAGATAACATTCAGACCACAACAGAAAAACATAGGTTCAAAATGTTATACACATACTTGTTCTGGCTTTACTCCAGAGCCCTCACGGGCAGCGCGCTCCAGGTAATCACGAGCAATATGCATTTTCTCGTCTGTGATGTAACCCACTAATCTGATGACTTCCATTCTATCCAGAAGAGGTCCCGGAATACTTTCCACAACGTTCGCTGTACATACGAAGAGTACCTACACAAGAATCACTGTCAGAACAATCATGTTCATCTATTCCCTTAACGCAGTGTTGATAAATTATATCGTTCAAAACTGGAGTCGACACACATGGTTGTATGCTCAGATGAAGTAAATATTCTGATGCGTCGTCAGACGGGACACACCTTTGACAGATCAATCGGGACATCTAGGTAGTGGTCAAGAAAGTTGGCATTTTGTTCAGGATCTAACAGTTCCAAGAGCGCACTTGCTGGATCTCCTGTATGTCCACGTCCCAGCTGAACGACAAAAACACAAGATAAAATCAAGTAGGATTCTTTGCATAGTGATTTTAACAGAGGGCCGTAATTCAGCATGAAAATAAACGACAAATTTCACGTCAGATCAACACTACTCAAAGTGGCCCGACTCATCTAAGCACCATATTTAATCTTTCAAGACAAATCCTCTCATAGAGTGCTGTAAATGACAGTACATTTTTTGTCATTGATTCATGAAGATGAGAGGCACATATGTACATACCTTATCTATCTCGTCAATCAAAACCAGTGGATTGGCTGTGCCAGTTGCTTTCAAACATTGTACCATCTTCCCAGGCATAGCTCCCACATATGTCCTCCGGTGTCCCTACAGGGGACCACATTTTGAAGATTTTTGAGTACGTGTGTTGGGAGCACATTGTAAGTTAGCTAAAAAATTCAAATATACCATGTTTGAGATTCGAATGAGTTGTAACTCTATAAATCTATAACTCAGGTGTATATGAACCACATTGGACGACAGGGTTCATGTCCACCTCAGAACTCGACAATCGCAGCAATCGGGCATAAAAGTTATCACAAGTACCTTGATTTCAGCAACATCACCTAAACCTCCGACAGAAAATCTATAGAACTGTCTGTTTAGCGCATGGGCTATTGATCGCCCAATGCTTGTTTTCCCAACTCCAGGTGGACCCGCAAGGCAAATAATCTTTCCTGTAGAGCAGTTCATGAAAGGTCAAGTACTAGCATCTTGGTTGCAAACATTTAGCAAAGTCATCTACATCTTCAAACAGGTGTTACCTTGAGCAGATCCACGAAGCTTTCCGACTGCAATGAATTCCAATATCCTTTCTTTAACATCTGCCAATCCATAGTGCTCGGCATCTAGAATTTCTTGCGCTCGTCCCACATCGAAATTCTCCTCACTGTGACAATCATAAATGGTCAAACCAATATTTACGAGATAGAATGTGAAATAATGCTCTAAACTGAATTTGAGCTAAACAAAAGTATTTAAGACATCCATTGCTGATCTGATTTATTACATTGTTCAGCTAAAGTCCTTCCTCTTTACTTTTCTTGACTGCTTAATTTCTTATTGACAACATGGGACATTTAAAAAAAAACTAGAGGATACCCGAATATCAAAGATGTTGCACACCCAATATTGTGTCAATCAAGCTCTAGTGAGAGATTTTATCGTTTGAAAGTGCCAGAACTTGTCCGTTGAAAGATCTGGCACCTGTATTGACCCCATGGTAAGGATGTAAGCCAGTCCAGATAGTTTCGTGTGACGTTAAATTCGCTAGAGCTGGATTCCAGTCCTTGTAGTTTATTCAGCTCGTCGTCTATTACTTGAAGAACATGCGCCGGGCACCCTTGCCGGCGGGATTCGAGCCTTTCTCTAAACTTCACTGTACAGTCCACAAAAAGGGTGCGCGGTCAGGTATTTGGCAAACATATGAAATCCAACATTGCCAGGAACCTTGTAAGAAGGCAGTGCATGATGAAGGTTCATCACACACGCGAAAAAAACATTCCCACATAGTGAGACAGCACATCCCAACGGGTAGAAAATATTTTTGGACAAATTGTGAGCTGTCTCATATTAACGAATGAAAAACGCTTCTTACGGATTTGCATGAAATCCTTCGAAGATTACTCGTAAAATTATTGTATTTGATGAAAGAGATGCGAGGGATTATAGAGAAGCGAAATACCTGTTAATGCTGTCTTGTCATCAGTTTCTAGGCCCAGCTCCTGCAATGCAAGCATAATGAGTAAGATGAAAATGAAGAATTAGATGTCAAATACACCAACTTTGAGATCATTCATACACGAGTGACTTTTGCAATTAAGCGCGATTGTTAACATGACACATTAAGAAAGTTAATCAATCAACTCAAGAAAGAGTTCATGGTTCAAGCTTTTTCTTATCTTGGTGCTGATTAGAGTTAGGTATGGTGAGAAAGCTTAAGAATAATATACAATATCAAATTTCACATTCGTAGTATACAAACTTTACCTTTTTGATAGCTTTTAACTGCTCCATTAAAAAGAAACGGCGTTGCTCTCCACTAATTTTCTCTTCCACTCCTCTAGCAATCGATGCCTGAATATCAGAGTCCAGTCACAGCGATTGATCAGATTTTGGATAGACAAATATTTCTCAAAATCTGAGATCTACAAATGATTCCTTGATAATTACACGATTCCATATTCAAGAGAGAAGAGCCATGAAGACATAGGCGATATCTCCATAGTCAGGTAAATGAAGACTACATTCAAGGAAAGAAATGACAATAAAAGATAGAATCATGTGCTATATTGCCGGACAGTACCTGAAGCTTGCTGAGCTCCAGCTCTTTCTTCAGCAACGTTAACGTCATATACAAACGTTTTGTTACCTGAAATAGATACATCAATTAAGCATCGTGCTGAAGTTAGAAGCAAAATTAGTACCAAAATATGCATCAAAGTGACGAACGTCACAATAGACTCCTGTACATCGAACCCAACGAGTGGTGTTGTTGAAGCTCCAGTAAGGAGGTGGAAGACCACTGAAATGACACTACCTCGATGCCTATCTGTGGCTTGACTCTAGGACAAGCTGGATATTTTGCTGCTGTTAGGTGATGTAATTCTTCATCACTTCTAGCATATTAACTCTTATGACCTCTTCCACTGGTCCTGTATTGATATGTAAACTCGTTAACACTGGAGGTTTGCAGTTATTGGCGTACAGTTCTATAAGGGTCCCTTGTTTTCTTGGTCATAATATCTTTCCTTTTTGAGTGCCGTCAATCATAATGATTGATTTGAGTGGCTGTTCTATACACAGATAGAAAGAGGTAAAAAATGTGAACGATTGAAAGGTTTGAAGTAATCAACCCAAGAGAGAAGAGATTCGTCCAGTTGAGGTGCATGCATAGATAGGCTGTTAGCACATGGACTTCCACAAGAGCAGAAATTGGAATAGCACGTGAATGATCGGACCTCCATATGGAGTAGAGGAATCCGGGCTTACCATGTTACATTAATGCCATCTAACTGTTACTTATTTCTTGGACTGTACATTACCCTGGTAAACTTGCGGTTTCAATATGCTCAAAGGAAAAGGGTTAATCCGTTCACGTCGAGCCTAAAAAGCGTCCGACTCGTGTTAACCTAAATAGTATTTACTTTGAACACAAATCATTATTTTTTGTGGTGCGTGCATTGCTCTCATAGATAAATAAACAAGGAGACCGAAAAGTACAAACCCGGAAAGCAACAATACTCAAGGCATAATCCGAAGCACAGGAACTATTGAGCTGTAAAGAACAGATACGTTACATAGCATTCTTAAATAACCACATATGCTTCATTGATGAGAATATGATCTTACATCCAGCTCTTCAAGAACCTCTTGCAAAGAAGGCTCGTCTGCAGTGGTCAAAGCAGCTCCAAAATCGGCAAGTTTGGATGCGTTGAATTCGCCCATGTGCTGTCACATCCAAACAGGTTCTTGTCAGTTGGTTGTAAAATCTTCAACTTCAATATGAATTCGGCAATGCAAGTGGTCAACATACATATGTCATATGTCATACCTGGATGAAGAGCTGTATGTGTTCTTTGTACAAAGGATTGAGCCGAATAAGGTCTTTCATTGTTGTAACCACTTCCATCACAGTTGCCTTTATTACATCCTGACTGCCATCATATGGCTTGTCCTGTACAAATCCAAATTTGTTGAGCAAGATGAAGTACAATTACTCAACATGAGCAGCGGGAGGATGACTGAGTTTAGAAGGTATTCTTCTGAAGAAAAATTCCATCTTGACCTGCAGCTTAGCAAGATGATATGAAACAAATGTCACACATAAGATGTAATCATACAACTTTGAAAGTTTGCAAGTGTGTAGGTAACGTTCCTCATTACTGAGTGTCGCTATAAAAGCCTAAAGCCATACCTCCCTGGCTAAGCTGTGCTAAAATGAACACATTAAGTATTTGGGGAGTGGAAATAAAATTAGTCACAAAAATGAGAAAGGTATAAATTGGGAATACAGAGGCCCCCTTTCGTATTGAAACTTTCCCGAGCGATCAATGAGGAGTTTCTAAATATCAGACAAGAAAGCCTCTACTAACTCATCCGAATGACTATATACAAGCCCCAGGATATATGAGATAAAATAGAGGTTGCAAATGTCCCAAAGGAGTAAGCTTGTAACGAAGCAACTCAGTTCGATATACAATGAAGAGGAATTTACCTTGACATGCTCAACAGTCACGGAGAGGGGATCATCTTCCACCTACAGAAAATATCACAAATGCCATCAATAATGGTTAAAACAGAATGTCGGGCCTTCAGACTTTGTCGCTCTCGAAACCACATGACAAAACATTATCTGATTTCGTCACGATAACGAACTCATATCTCAAATAACAACACTCTTAAGCAAAAAAGGGGGCTAACTTACTACTCCTGTGAGCCTCAAACGGCGATGTCCCATGAGCAGAAACTGTGAAACACCTTCTCCACCATCAACCGCTCTGAACACATTTGTGATCTGAGAAACACAAAAATAATGTGATTGATCAGGACCTTAGATTCATGTAAAAGGCTTTGAAAAGTTTACGAATAAATTAATAATTATTTGCTCCAATGGCCTCACACCCAGAGGTGGTAGTGAGATTTACAGAAATATGCGCGTGACTACTCAGATGTTCACAATCTACTATACCCAACATTTTCAGCACCCAAAAGTACCCAGGAAAAGTGAATCAACTAAACTTCCTGGTCTTGACACTAACCATGAACCCAAATGACTCTCATAACCACAAAGAAAAGAGATTGGTTGCGCGAACGTGATCAATTATGACTAACTTGGAAAACTGTGAAGTCGTGCGCCAGCAGCAGGAGAGAAGAGGGGAGGGTAGGAGAAAGGAGGGCGGAAGGAGGTTAACTGAAAGCAGGACACGGGAGACCTGCGGGACAGGACAGCAGGGGGGCGCCAGCAGCAGCAGGATTTATTCAGTTAGAACTTTAAGATTATAAATTTCCAACTGAATTGTTTGCTGGACACCAAGTGATTGTGGCCCAATGGAAAGGGTCACAGATTGGGACTTGGGGGTAGGAGAAAGGAGGGCAGAAGGAGGTTGACTGAAAGCAGGACACAGGAGACCTGCGGGACAGGACAGCAGGGGGGCGCCAGCAGCAGCCGGGTATATTCAGTTAGAGATTGAAGATTATAAATTTCCAACTGAATTGTTTGCTGGACACCAAGTGATTGTGGCCCAATGGAAAGGGTCACAGACTGGGACTTGGGGTAGGAGAATGGAGGGCGGAAGGAGGTTGACTGAAAGCAGAACATAAGAGAACTGCGGGACAGGACAACAGCGGGGCAGGCGGGGGGGCATCCAAAACTCTTTGATTACAGATTCATCACATACATAGAATGCCTTTTAAGACACATCATATCGAACGCAGCCTAGACATGGAAAGGAGACTAGGAAGAAGTGCGATGCATTGATACTAGGACAGACGATAAAACCTGTGCAAAAGTCCCATACTCATGTAGAGACTTGTACAGTTCTTCCCCATGAAGCTCCTCATCGTCCTTGTCTCCATCTCCACCTGGAAATGGCACAGGATCTTTGTTCTTGCGGCTGCCGTCTTTAACAAGAAATGTGCCAACCCAAGGAGTTCCACGCATTCTTAACTCCATAAGCTTTGCGGCCAACTTGGTGTCCTGAGAAAAAAGCATTGGAACACGAAGATAACATACTTAAATCTCTCATATGAAACATGCCGTCGAACTATTAATCCCATTGTCGTATTTAATACCAGTTAAGGACATTACAACGTACTCGTGTCAAAGAAAGAAAAGACAGTGATACAAATCTGTGAAAAAGCTTCTGTACAATCCAGACACAGGGCAAAAGGAGAAAAATCTCGTACCTTAGTGGAGAAGGGAACGTAAAAGCCAGGGAAAAGTGGTCTTCTTGTCAAGGGTATAGCAACGACCTGCAGTTTGAACAAAACACTGTACTCATTGAATTTTTGACTGATAATTATCGCCCTGGCTGTGACTAATTACTATCGATGGGTTGGTATAAGAACAAGAAGAGAAAATATCATCAATCCTCATATGTGCAACACGAACAGAAGACCCATATCCTTATGACAGAGATAGTACGGTCCGGTTTCCTCTTAAATTTTCGCTCTTTCATACATATGCATTTGAATGTCCTCCGCATTGCCACTCGTGAGGCGGTACTGTTCGACACAAACTTACTCTCCAAGGCCAATGAGCATGGCCTCCACATATGTGACGTTTGTTTCAATTCATGTACCTTGGGAAAATTTTCCGGCCTGGGACTGTTCGGGACAATTGCGGCCGAAACAACGGGTTCGTCATCTGTGGAGGAATTATCCGCGCTATCTCTCTCGGCTGCGTGCACCTCTACTGGTTCCTTTTCAGCTGTAGACTCCTCTGGCTCTTTATCTGAAACAGACCTTTTGAAGGGATTCAACCTGTCAAAGAATTTTTTCCCTCCTTTGTTTCCTTCGCCCGGTCCATTTTCTCCAGTACCTTTCGAGCCATCTTCTGGTGCAATTTCGTTCTCTGACGGCAAAAGGCCTTCACCCTCTTTAAATGCTTTGTCAGACTTGTCCGATCCATCCCCGGATTCACCAGACGCTGATGAGAGCAGACGGCCCCACTGAGGTGCGGAATTGGGGCCAAAGGAGGACCTAGCTTTGACAGAATTCCATAGCGCAAGAAGTGGTGGCAGATCAAGTCCAACCGATTCTCTACATTGTGCCCCTACGCCAAGCGGGCGAGTGACTCTCCGCAGAGCCGACGCACTCCGCCCGTAAATGGTTGGAGCAACGACGGCCAGCATCTAATCCCTCTCAATTCCACCAATCAAAATTCTATTTCAGCCACCCACACACCTCGCGATTCCCCGGCAAATTGCCCAGCACTCTTCTCAGCTCACACTCTACTGCTTTCACTCCGCCCTTCTCTAATGCCAAATTCCCCGGACGATCAGCCAGCAGCTGCAGAAGTCCGACTTCCGAACTCCCCCAGTGTCGCAAAACCTCGCCACTCACGGTAATTCCCAATTCCCCAATTCCACCACCAGAAAAAACCAACACCTGCGATCGATCCACACGATCGGCTCGCAAAGAATCGCCTTCACATCCCTCCGGCCCTTCCGGCCAATTGATCAAATTGCCACTTTAGCGCCAGATGATCACAGAGCAGAACCCTCCTCCTCCATTCCCGTTCTGCTGCTCTGCCCTGTCCCCGTCGACGACTCTGTTTCCACGAGCGCTAGAAGCTTCCGTCCCGTTGACGAACGCGGGGTCGGGTCGGGACATAGGCGAGAGCCTTGAACCCTAATCGCCAAATCTGGCGGAGGTCGGTGGTGTGGGTTTTAGAAGCATTCGCAGAAGCGCACCTGGGAACGCGGACGCCTCCAAATTAGTTAGGGCCAGATGCGGGTAGAGGAGGTCCGCGGTGCCGAGAGTTTACTTGAGCTGGCGGGGTAGGGCTCCGGAGACTCTTTGGCACTCGTCCTCGAGTGCGTCGTCGGTGCTGCTGCAGGGCTGCGATTCCATGAGCGCAGGTCCATAATCGCGAGCGATGAGACTCGAGAAGTGCTGGTTTTGCTCGTCCACCATCTACCCTGGGCACGGCATTCAGTTCGTGCGCAACGACGCCAAGGTGCGCTTTCGCCAGTGTGCGAAATGATGGAAATTTTGGGGTTTTGGCTCGAGGGAGATGGGGTTTTTCTCGTCGATGATTCTTGTTATTCCTGCCTGCCTGTTTGGATTTTTGCCTCCCCTTTGTGGTGTCTCTGTCGGGTTGCTATCGTAATAGTCATGGGTGAGGAATTTGGGCTCCCTTTTTTTGGTGCCACCTCGCCATGTCGTGAGCCGTTGCATATTGCGGTTCCTGTTTTCGTGCGTTTTGTCCCGCGAAAAGGGGCTGGAATTGGAATTTTCGTCGTATCGAATTTGGGCTGGTAGTCCCATCGACTTTTTTCCGTTCTTGCTGAAATCCTCCTCTCGACGAATTGGCAGGTCTTCAAGTTCTGTAGGTCAAAATGTCACAAGAATTTCAAAATGAAGCGCAACCCCCGGAAAGTGAAGTGGACTAAAGCTTACCGAAAGCTTCATGGCAAGGAGTTGACGCAGGTACGATCGTGCATACTCTTTCTAGAGATTGTTTTCGTACTCTTCTGTTCGGCTTCACTTTGTTCAAGTACCTCACCTGTTTCGGATGGAGTGCTTTCGCGGAGGAGTGGTGCCACAACTGTATGCTTATGAGCGTGGTGCGGTTTCAGGACACGACGTTTGAGCTGGAGCGGAGGAGAAACAGGCCTGAGAGGTATGACAGGGTGGTGGTGGAGAACACCATCAAGGCAATGAAGAAGATCGAGGAGGTCCGCATTAAGCGAGAATCGAAGTTCTGGGAGAGCAGGTTTGTGGACACTCCCTATCATATTTTAGTGGTTTCTTTATGCTGAAACGTATGTTTATTTATCCACAGAAGATTCTGACGAATGGATTCGGTGAGAAAATGCTGTCGAAACGATGTTTGTTTACGGTAAAATCGAGGGCAAATTAGCGTACCAGGTTTTATACACTGATGTCGAAGAGCTCAAAATCGCATAGTAGATGATGTCGTACGTCCTATGTAAAGTAAAGGCTAATTGTTTCCGTCTGTTCGTCGCATATTGTATGGTAGCTTGAAGATTTTCGTACGAAGTGAATGTCTTTGGCACGTCCATGGGAACGATTTGTTGACTTTAATTGTTGTTGTCGTCAATGCAGAATGAAGGGCAACAAGAGTAAGGAGAGAAGGGAGGGATTGGCGGAGCTGGAGCAAAGCATTCACATGGTGAAGGCTCCTCTTGCTCTGCAAGCTGACCCCAGCCTCACCTTACCCAAAGTACAGGCGAAGATCAAGGTTAAAGTGTCAACGGAGAAGCAGTCTACACAAGCTATGCAAGAGTAGCATGATTACAGTATATAGTTTATGTGGTTTCACAAGTTTTCCCGTCTGCTGAAAGTGCGACAAAATCAAGTGGTTGGAGCCCGTGCCTGTCTTTCAATCCGGAAGGCTGAGTTCCTTCGACTTCAGGCGGAATCGGAGGATCTAAAAATGCACGGGGTTGAGAGTGCTGATGTCAGTTCTTACATTGTGTGTATCTTCAGTTGCACTCTGACCCATCCACTCGTCCACGAGTTGGCCCATACCAGTACTTGTTCGCGTTTGCTCTCCGATTCATGAGGTTTTCATGGATGTAAGGCAGATGTAAGATTTCAGTTAGCGATATTGATCTCATTTAGCGACTTTTTGACTTGTCAGATTAGTCTGGCCTTATTCACGTCCAAAGTGTCTTGTAAGGTCGGAAAAGTTCGAAATTCAGGTTTTGTTCTGATCACCCGGTTACCCGATTTCCCAATTTCGTTTTGATCTCGAATATTTTCGTCACAAGCCGATTGTTGCTTTTATAATTTTTATCACGGCTTATTTTAAGCCAAGTTGTCGTGAAGATGGACCGAATATCGGGAGACCTTCGAAAAGTTGAATTGTGTCGCGCGGACCACTGATTTGTGAACTTTGCCGCCTGCACTCACAACCATTATGTTATATAGGACTAGCGCCTACCCTCTTCTCCCGCCTCACTCGAGCCCCGGTACTCCAAGCAACCAGATATCCGCAATGGATTTTACAGACCGCAATGGATTTTACAGACCACAACCTGATGTAGAAAAGACTCAATCTCGTTCTCACTATATCTCTGAGACTCGCTTCTCGAGGACGCCAACTGGCTGCCCACAATTATGTTTTTGTGCACTCTATATGCGTGACTGCTATTGACGAATGCGACGATGGGAGATCGTAACCGTGCTGGAAGTAAAACCATTGCCCAACAATCATCGAGGAGAGCCACTTTCCTTCCTCCAAAACCGAGCATCACACTGAAATATGATTCAGACCGATAAGCTAACCGGAGTAGGAAGACGAGGACCGAGAAGGCGAGGCAGTCAGCTGGTCACATTGTGCGACAGGTCATTCTGGCAAGCCTTAAGTCTGATCATTAGGGTACCTCACCGGATTGGCGCACGAGCACCAGCGACAATCCTGTGAGCCCCATCATGGCGAAAGGCAACAAGCTGCGCTGAATGATCGTTCAGAGCTAGAACTAATGCCGAGGAGAAGTCCCCGAGCACGACGACGAATGGACGCCAGACATCCAGTATGATGGGAGCGCGGAAGAGAAGCTCGTCTGCTGCTGCAGCAGCTGCTGCGGGCAGTGTCGAAGAGGGCGGCAGGAAACGTCGGAAAGCTTTGTAGGACAGAATGCGCAAATCTCCTCTGACGTGCAAGGAATTTGCTGAAGATGGGGGAAAATCCGGAAAGAAAATCTCTGGACGAAGAGGGAGGAGCGATGGAAGGTGCGCAGGGCGGAGCAGAGGCCATTCATGGCTCGAAAGCGTAGCGAAGCGCAGTGGGAGTGATCAGACGATCCGAGGCCGAGGCCGCGGGCACGGACTATCATGGCTCGCGCGACGACGCGCATAATCCGTTCGCGCTCTCGGACATCGGTGGTCTGATAACTGCCCGCAAGCGCCAGGCGCCAAGGTGGCACAGCAGTGGCATGCGAGCAGTTGAAAGCTTGCGTGGCACCAGACCGCTTAAGCCCGCGCACATCTCGTTCGCATGCTCGTCAATCTTTGCAATTGCTCACTCTCCGAACTCGAAGATTCTCAAGTCCGAGCCACAATCGGCCTCCGATTTCCTCTGTCTTCGTTTCCAGCCTAGATCCAGGCCACGCACACGATTGGCCGCGTTCGGAATTCACCACCAAGTCCACCACTGGGCTCGTACACAGCCAGGTACGTGCAGCAGAGCATCGAGGATCCGATTTCCTGGCTTGAGCAGAGAGAGAGAGAGAGAGAGAGAGAGAGAGAGAGAGAGAGAGAGAGAGAGAGAGAGAGAGAGAGAGAGGCTGCGCTGTGTCGTGCTGTGCGCCCAGCGAGCGACGACCTGGGTCAGGTGTTGGCCGGCATTGAATTGAGGTACAGGTGCTGTCGATGGTGGAGGGAGGTCCGAGACTTGTCACCGATTTCGTCCGACACTTGATGGAATTGCCTACAGATTCAGCTACTACTTTCGTAATCAACGTGAATGTGCTGAGCGATGGAGGCATGAGTCCTCAGAGGAGAGGAGGAGCGGCGTAGGGTTGTTGTTGTAGCTGCTGACTCGTGGTGCTGCTTTCCGTCCCCTGCGCGGCCGGCCGTCTTCCATAGCTGCTCGCCATCTGATCCCTTCACATTAGAGGAACTTGCAGCAGGCGAGTTCTGTTGCGCACCCTTCTGTTGACCGTCTCTGCGTGCTCGTCCACCTCCTCGTCGTCGTGGTGCTAGTTGGGGAGATTCGGCCACCGGAGAACAGGAGAACAGGCGCCCATGGATAAGAGTGAACCCATGCAGATGGCATCATCCGCCAGACCTTGCGCGAAAACTGCCCCAGAGCAACATTATGTGCAGATAGATTCGTTGGGATTGCAACAACTTGAGCATCTGGAGAAGGAGCTTGAACAAGCCAAACAAAAGGTCAGAATGTCCGAAACAGGTTGAAACTTGTCAGACTTGTGTTAACTTAACTGTCAGCACTTTAGCCATTCGACATTCTCTAAGACCGCAGATAATGGATCGATCGTTCGAGCACAGACCTCACGAACCCCGAGTTCTGGTCAGCAATTTCAATTAAGTAACTTTTCTGAAACCAACGACAAAGTGCTTACGAGGTATTTTTAGCGAAATTTCTTCTCGACGCCGATATCAGCTCATAAACATGAAGTAGTTGCAAGGTCTAGTGTTTTACCCTGTCTTTGGAGGCTGAGAGAGAGTCTGGCAATCGCCAGAACAGCGACAGAGTGTCGCACGAACTGCTATGAGAACCATGATGAAGTGATGATGATGATCAAGCAAATAGTGGGAGTGATAAATTAGAGAGAATCTCGCCCGCATCTGAAATTTTGTCCAGGGCTTGGTGCTTCGGTTTGAGCAGTATATTCAAGGAAGACAGTCTCAGACAGAATCCCTGAATGCCTGTCAGTACGATGTCGCTTTGACAGATTCTAGTACTGAGAGCGCAGGAACATCGGGAGACATCTTCGCCAGAGAACAAGGTAAATCAATTCAAGTCCAGTTGACTGAAACCTTTCCTGCCTCCCTCCTTCGAAACCGTTCCACCTGCGATTCGTTTGCACTGCTTCGTTGTCACATAGCATCCAACTGAATCCTTCACTCGAGCGATGAGCTCCGCAATCGCGCTGTGATATTCTCGATGCATGGGCAGGTCTCCGAAAGCAGATATTGGACCAACGAGGAACGGCAACGGTTCAAGAAAGCTCTGAAGACGTGAGTAAACATGATGATAGATGCAGCCTCAGGAATTTCCTTTAGCAGCAGGAAGAATGTTGTGCCAATCCTAATCTGAAAACAATGTCTCCGAGTTTTGTTCCGAATTCCTGCATGCAATAGCTGCGAATGAATGACGCTGTCAGACGTGGACGGATGATACAGCTTTGGGACCGACTTTGCGGCTATCGCAAAGTTCGTAGGAACGCGCAGTTCCACTCAAGTCCGGACGCATGCGCAGAAGTATTATGCTAAGCTGGTGCGTACTACGCCCCCATCCACTTGCTTGCGGCAGGCCTGACAGAGTTCGTCGAACCTTGTGCATGGTGCACTCGTCGGTTGCAACTTTGCTGTGCAGGTCTCGTGGATCCCAGACTCTCACGAGTTTGTTTGTTAGCTCTCGTGCAGATCAGAGACTACAAACGTTCTGGCAAATCTCCGGCGACAGTCAAAGGCCGTGAGGAGAAAGCGACCGGAGCAACTCGACTCACGACGATGTAAAAATGCCAGACGACTGCTGCTTGCTCCACATGCGCAAATAATGCGGTCGCATTTCAGACAGCATGCATGTCACGTGGTCGGAGGAGGAACATCCTGCAAGCCAGGAGGAGGATTAGGAGGAGGAGGAGGAGGGAGGGAGGGAGGGGTTATCGCAGCTGGACTTGTTTCCTTCAGAGTCATGAATGTAGTCGTAGTCAGTCAGTAGTCACGAGAAATTTCACGCTACATGATCCTTGGACTGACGTCCTGCCCAAGGTGCTGCAATTTGATAGATTACGTGAAAAATGAGTTTTTAGAAGCAGGCAATAACGGCAGCCTAGCTACGTAGAGTAGGAGCTGTGTTGCGCCACGCCATGCCACGCCACGCCCAGTCTCGCTTAGCGAACGAGAGAAGTCTTCATTGTTACAGTTCTTCAAGAGAATAGAAGATGGGGGAGAATTTGGCAGCACTGTCTATCCGCGCCATCTCAAGTTTCTGAACCAGGTAACATTGGTCATGATTTTGCCATCAGATTTTATTCAACAATAGAGGGGAAATATATACAATCCTTTGCCCTGACCGTGACCGTGATCCATTCACAATTGTTGAATACTTACACTCACTCACTCACTCACAACGTCATGGCCGATGTTCCTTCCGACGAGCGAATTGGGAGCTACAATTGGGAGCATGTAACGTATTAGCCTCGGAATCATCCGCATGCTTTCGAGCAGAAGAGGCCAGATTTAGCCAGATTGTCTCCTGACCTCCATCGCTGCTTCTCCGCTCGGGGCTCCGGTCCGTCGAGTGTGCAATCAATCAATGGCATCTGCACAGTGTGCCATGCGTGGTCCGCGGAAGCAAACTGGAATTCGGAAGAATCCGATCCCTGGATCTACGAGGAAGCGAACGCGACGAAGATCTGATTGCGCTGCTGGACACGTGTCCCGCTGGAGATTGGAAGGACTTCCCGAGGTCAGAGTCTTTCTATGCTCTTCGAATCTCGCACGCTGCTTCCCTCCTTCCGGTGCATGAATGCGACTGGCCTTCGGGAACGAGATCCTCAAGTCAATTCTCTTCGCTCTACCTCTCTGGCATCCACCAACCACTCCGGCTCCTCGTGCCGGCAGGAAGACGCCAAGCGATGGTCACGCACGACATCATCTGGAAATAGAAACCCGGTCCATTCACGGATACAAGATCGAGATCGAGAGTGATGTCACCACTCACATGGACGCGCATCCTGCCAGGACTTACATTCCCGTTTTGGAGCATGACTCCTTGGGTTACATTGCATTCGTGTTTTCCAAATTTGTTCTCAACAGTATAAAGGTCCCCAGACGAAGGCTCTGTGCTCCAAACGCTCCTGGCAAAGGTCGCCTTCAGAGGTTGTTGATCTAAGCTAGTCGACATCCACTGGCTCAGAATACGACAGACTCGTCCTCCATTTCAGAGCATGTTGCAGGACCCGCGGTCGACACAGCTAGTGCGTGCAGTCGATGTGCTGCTGGTGACATGACTTGCGGCATTTCGATCTAGACAGCTATGAATTCTGATCTTGGTCTGGAAATGTGTGATCTGCACGTGCTTACATATTCCAGCGAGGTTTTATAGTTTCACATCACTCTCGATTAGGACGAGCTTTCATCGGCCCCATTGCGCAAAAAGTTAGTCCGGTGTTGAGTCTCTGCTTCTTGGGCCGAGGTCAGCTCCAGGCCGTAAGACGGTATGATGAGGGAAGCGTGCCTGGACCCAGGAGACAACGAGAGAACCATGCCATGACTTTCTGGTCCATAGTGAATATAGTGCCTCCACATTTTTCCAACGTGTTGCAGAAGTGTTAGCGATTTGGCGATCCTTTCGGGATCCTCGTGGCTACAACAACGATTACTGTCACTGGCGCATAGCACCTTGTGCGCGCTGGCAGAGTAAATCCCAGGAAGACCACCGTACTCAGCTAGCTCTGAACTGACACTAGGAAACCATCAGAGTTCTGAAAAGAAATCCGTGTGTGCTCTTTTGCGTATCGAGGTCCAATTTCATTGGACAGAATACCCGTCCATGCTGGAGGGACCTCACGTTGTGAAGAGCCAATGAATGCCAACAGCTGAAGGGATAATGAAAACTTCGTAGTGCTGGTGATTCAGACATGGATCGCCTGCGAACTTTTCCATATTCAAGCCACCGTTGTCTTCCGAGCTAGGCATTATCTTCATGCTCTACACCAGCACCGGTGATTCCGAAGGATTGGTAGTGTCAGTGCCATCCGTTTGGGCCGCAGAAAATGCCTGGAAGCTACGGGGAATCTAATCATTGACTACCCTCTCACTATGAAATAACTGCAATTAGGGTGTGATCCGAAACCTAAAAACAATTTACAAGCGCCTGACACAGGCACCAGGTCTCGATCAGGTACAGATCGGCGATCCATGCCGGTGGTGAAGAGGGAGGCAAACCTTGCCCACAGGACGGCAGGTCACGTCCTCATGAGCTGCTTGCACAGAAAAGGCCCACTACATGTGTTTCAGAGGACTTCAGTTGCAGGAACGATGGGATGAAAGAGGAAGAAGATGCTCGAGTGCGTATGAAGCGGACTACAAAAGTTAGCGACGATCCACAACAGAGAAAGCTAGCCAATGTCAGGGGTACAATTGTGCACCTCCGAGCAAATCTCGACCAGACCGTCCGAACAGCTGGGTCGCATAGGCGCAGGATGGTATGGAGGACACGCAATCACACCATGGATTCGGCTGTTGACGACCGACCGAACGGATTCCGTGTACCTCAGACGCGATTTGCATTTGCCATGATAATCAGTGGGCGTGGGTGTGGGCAACTTCACCTCCAATCACAGGCAATAACGATGGCTAGATTCGTTACGGGGCACTTTCATGATTGCGACGTAAGTCGGAGAGATAGATACATCGACTCCTTGGTCCACTCCAAGCCCAGGAAGGAAACGAAGTCAACTGGAACGCAATCTGTGCACAGTACTTTCAAACCCTAACCAGACACAAGCAATAAGACATGATCCAGAAGGAGTAGGGGCAATTGACGATCTCCCAATCGAGTTGACGATCTTTGCAACCGAGCCCCTTGCTCCGGAGAAGAATCTGCCCCATTCCGAGAATCATTTGCTGCATTCCGTACTCGGTCCTGCGAATCCTGAACTTCTTCCAGCATCCGAGGGACAGAAGTTCGCCATTGACGGCCACAGCTTCGTCGGCCCGGAAGTGATTGGCTTGAAATCGCTCCAGAACGTCCCACGAAATGTACTGCGTCGCCTTCCAAGAATTGGTCGCCGCGTCGTGGACGAGCAGGTAATTGCCGTAGATCTCATGCAGTTTTCCGTCGATCACAACTAGCCTATCGGATCGGATGCTCTGCTCGGGGTGCGTGAAATTCTTCAGCTCCCGCCACTGGTCCTTGCGACAATCGTACACCTCGGCAAAATCAGCATCGAGCTGATTGTGGAAGCTTCCTCCGTGCACATAGATTTCCCCTTCGGCCACGATGGCTTTGCGGCCCAGGCAGTGGTGCAGCACGGGAGCGATAAAATGCCACGAGTTCTGCTTGGGGTTGTAAACCTCCGACTTCTCGGAGAACACGCCCCGGAAGCTCGCCTGGCCCCCGAAGACATAGATCTTGCCGTCTTTGACAGCGCACGAGAAGTTGATCCGCTTGCCATACATGCTGGCGCATTGCTTCCAGGCGCGCTGGGCCGATCCGAGATCGAACGAGTGCACCTGATTCCTCGCAATCCAGTTCTCGCCGTGCTTGTTCTCGTCATAGCCGCCCAGGATGTAGAGCTCGCCGTCCAAGCACACGCAGCCGCAGCTGCTGGGAATGCCGCTGCGCACGTCCGGAATAGGAGGTAGAAGATGCCACCTATCAGTCGATGGATCATAGACAGAGATGGCGGTCTTGCGCCCGGTCATGATCACCGACGCCGGCGGCTCATGGAAGATGGCCACGAGCGTCTGCGAGGTGTTGGTGCGCACTCGCGCGTTGTACACGCTGCGGCTCAGCACCGCCTCGCGCCATGCTCGGTTCAGCGACGACAGCACGTACAGCGTCGTCCATGGCAGCTTCGTCAGCACGTGGTCCAGCGTTATCTCGTCGGGCACTCCCGCCAGCAGCCTCCCCGCTCCCCCCTCCTCGTCGCCTCCCTGCTCCTGCTCCTGCTCCGAGCTCTCCATGCCTTCATGACCCTCTCCTCCCTCTCCTCCCTCTCCTCTGCTACTCGACACGACGAGCTTTTCTCGAGCACCAGCCCGATGATGTTGATGATTCTGCTCCTGCTGCTGCTGCTGCTGATGATGACGATGGTGATGGTGATGGTGGTGGTGGTGGTGGTGGCGTTTTTCAATTGCGGCGAGCGGCTTGGCGCCAAGGGATTGGCGCTCGACGGGATCAGCAGTCGGGACCGGGGAGATGGGGACGACTTGCTGCGCTCGAACCAGAGTCGACGACAGGCTCTTGAGCTTGGCGGCCATTTACAGGTCGGGGCGGTCGGGCAGTGCGCCGCGCCATAAGACGGCTGCTGCTGCTGCTGCTGTTGGAGCTCCTGCGGCTCGAATTGGAGGAGGAGGAGGAGGAGGAGGAGGAGGAAGAAGAAGAGAGCGCGACGGGGCGGGACGAGCAATTTATACGGCGACCGAGAGAATACGACCAGGCGGGGCCCCACCGCGCCTCCAGAATAGATTTGCTCTCAGGGGCAGGCGCTGAATAGTTCTTGTGGATAGAGCATCTTCAACACAGGCGCCCACAGTGACCAGATAACGCCCGACGCGTGACTCGACTCGTTCGCCGCTCGCTTCTGCTGCTGCTGCTGCTGCTGCCGCTGCGAGAACATGGCGAGATGCAGGCAGGCGCCTCCCGTGCTCGTCGACGATTCATTCGCAGCCCTGCGCTGCTGCTGCGAGCTGCGAGCTGCACTTCCCGCGACGATGGCCTCGACGGGCATCGATCGTGATCTTCTGCTTTCGTCTGCAACGGTGGCCCCGACCCCTTCGAGCCAAAGAGGCACCGGGCCGCCGCGTCCGGCGCTGTCGCCCCAGGACCCAACTGGTCTGCGGGGCGCTTTACCCCCTGGCAGCGTCCGAACAGCGGGCGGGCCCCGAAGATCCGTCGTCGATCCCCGAAACGCTGCCGATCCGCTCGCTGCTCTCGGCCGGTCCTCTGGGCCCCCCTCCCCCGCCCTGCCGTCCCCCGCCCGCCCGCCCGCCCTCCCTCCCTCCCTCCCTCCGCCCAACGCTCGCTCGGCACCCGCGGGCCGGCGACGCCTGGCGCTTTGCGGTGTCGAGAAGCAGGGCGCGCGCGCCCACAAAAACCTCCTGGGCAACAGTCTCTTGTTCCCGCCGGAGAACACTGGGCGCGCGCGCTTGTCAACCGTGCTCATCATCGTAGTTGACAATGAGGAGGAGCACTCGCCCTCGCTGCCCCTCGCTCCCTCGTCCGAAGCATGATCGGCCATCCGGTTGAGTGCACCACCTCCTCACGCCGACGACTTCGAGGCCCAATTTCTGTGCCCAGCCATTTGATCACTGACTCGGATTCAGAACGACGACTAGTGCATGTGGATGCACCAAATGTGGAAATTTTTATCTTTACAAATGTGGAGATCTGACCAAATTTCCACATTTGTTAAAGAGAATTTAACGTTATCATCACATAGTAATAGTTCTCAGTTGACCCTTTGTGCACATCAATTTTGCAACCTCACATCTATCATATGATATCACAATACAATAAATAAAATTTATCATACTGATCAGTTATTTTTTAATAATTTTCTTATACCCATTTTAAAAAGCGAACAGTTCACTTTACATTTCATAGATTCGGGTTTTGGGACTAGCTAACATACATCCTAGCCACACATCAAAATTTCATTTTGAAATATTAGCCTCCAATTCAGCATAATTAATGAATGACTGTACTGCTTACATACTAACATAATTATGATATATCATGACACATTCCATGCACCTAATGATGATACGCTGTGAGGGTTATATCTGCTCATGAGTGTACTTGTCTATTTATCAACCTATTTCTTCTTATTAATCTAAAGTCAATGAAAATACCAACTATATGATGATTTACATCAAACTTCATGATCACAATGTAAACAGCTTAAAGTGATGTTTTCATCTTGAACTCTAATTGTAAAAGTTTTGAATCAAACAATAGATTGTTTGATTTACGAATTCTTGTGTAAAATAAGGAAAAGATACATCAGATGAGGTAATAATTTAAAGTCCAAAAAGTTTATATAAATGTTTTCTCTAAAATCAATTAGGTCAACATTTTCTAAAATTTGTGTTAATTATTCTATTATCAATTCATACAACGGATTATTTTGTACTGATTTGAAAACTACTTTCAGATAACAAAATTCACATGAATGATATAAGAATATTTTCGTTCATCTTCTATACTAATAGCATAAGCTGAAAATTAAGCATGTCAGCTGAAAATTTTACTTTTGAATTTGATTTAACAACAGCTTATAGTTTGACATTTTCCTAGTAATCAGTAATTCGATCATTTAAAATCCACCTCCTAATCATTTTTTATTTCGATAACTTTTATATATTTTAAATCCGCTCTGATCAAAACTGTAAATAGTTTAAATAGGCTGGTCAAATTCAGGTCAAGTAACTTATATGAACTCACTATATGATAAGGCTTTATATTCACTAAACAGCATAAGCGGGTATGTTTGTGGCGGAGGAAACCAAGGAAAATTAAAACCTTCTAAATATGTGGATAATATTTTATAATTTTATACAATTTTTCGTTAATAATAAGTTGGGTATCTTGCTGAATATATAAAATATTGGAACCATACGTGATTGGGTTAAATTACTTTCCGTTACTAGTTTTCAAATTTTAGGGCCTCCAACCTTTACATATTACAATAATTTAGAACTAAATACTATAACTAACCTGATAATTTTTCAGCTCATGTCTAGTAGTACAATCATATATTATCACAATTTTATGACAATGAGGTGAAGAAACTTTCCGATTCAAAATTTTTTAATACTACTTTTAATGTATCTGAATCATAAGGTTCTAAGATTAGTATGCATAGTAAAAATGATGAAGTTATTTCCGAATTAATTACGCCTTGGTGTGACTATAGATATTCAGTTGGTCGTACGTAACCTTCAATTCCTTCAATTCTTAATTATATAAATGAATACTGATATTGTAACTCATATCAATAACTAATAAAACTTTTACTGGAAAAAGATACTTTTTGATAGAAACTTGAAATCTACGAGTGAAAATAATGTATTTCTTTCCTTCACAACTAGCATTGACTGATGCTTGGTGTATCAAGATGACATTCCGCATCACTAAACTTTTATTATATAAATTTCACTTTCAAAGACCACACTCTATGATGGAAGTTCAGCAAGATCATTTGTTTCTTAGCCATGTTCTATATGATACTCTTCTTAGAAGTTGGGAACTTTGGATTACAGTTTACAAAATTACACTGACTCTTAAGATACCCAAAAAAAAAACTATTTTATGCTTAGGATAATATCACTAGATGTAAATAGATCCAGACATACACAGAACACGGGACTGTAACAAGGCGGCACCAGTGAGACTTGGACGTCTCGGCTCAAGTGTGCATAAAACCAGCACAAGGAATTCATTTCTACTTATTAGATGACACCACACGCTAGAAAAATCGAAGAAGTGGGGACTCACCTCACCTTCCAAAGAGGGCTGATGGGAGCTAATTCATGCAGAGTAATTATCTTAACATAAACATAAAACTTCGTCGTTTCTGAACAGGAGAACAAGGGACGGCTGGCGCAAAGTAATATACATTAATCACTTCCAAAAAGGCAGTGTATGCGATATCTCCTAATCACATCCTCGATAATAAATTGTCAGTGGCGAGAACTAACAATCCTTTCAAATGTATAGACATTCGTCCCTAACTCAAGATCCAGATCTTTGACATGATTTCTTGGCGTGGACTTTCTACCTTAGAGATGCAGGAAACATCCGTTATATTTCTGCAGTTCCCTGCTCAAATATGACAGATGAACTGGCTTTGAAAAATTTTGGGCCCATACTTTGCTTGATACAACTCCGAAACATACCATATCTGATAACATAATAATCATCGCCCTACTCTTTATTGTTGATCAGATATTCAAAACTTAAATCCATCAACTGAGAGATATTTACAAGCTGCGTGTTATTGACATGAGTTGTGGAGAGTCGTGAATCTGGTGCTTAGAAGGCTGACTATATCTCTACACTTCATTCTTCAGTTCATCTTTCGGAGTGACCTCTGTGACTTTCAGATTCTCCATTTCTATCTTAATATCCGCGAACAGACTCGTGCTAAGGTATCTTTCTCCAGCACTGGGAAATATTGTGACGATCAATTTACCGGCATTCTCTGGCCGCTTTGCAACCTGCCAAACCACAATCAGCATGTAACACACCTGGATCAAGAACCTTGCAATTCATGCTGGCGAAAGTGATTCATTTACAACAAACATTTTCTGTTCAAAAGAAGCCAGAAGAAACCCGCTCAGACAGCATAATATGATAAATGCTCGTTTACAGCTGATCCAGTACTTATTGGTACTCGATCTGAAAGATGGAGTTCAACCAAAAAAAAACCAACAAAGCCAAATCATTACCTGCAGTGCCCCAGCGAGAGCGGCACCTGATGATATGCCCACAAGCAACCCTTCTTCCAAACCAAGTCTTTTGGAGGCAGCAATAGCTTCAGCGCTGCTGACAGTCACGATCTCATCCATAACAGAAACATCAGTAACTTCGGGAATCATCCCTGGACCAATACCTTGTATCCCATGAGGGCCAGGCATTCCTCCTGCAAACGACCAAACAAGAGATCAATGTAGTTCTCAACTCGAAGCAGAGAGACCAAACTCGTTGTAGAGGGTTTTTTTCCAGGTTGGACAGCTTGCTTCAGATGAGTCCTCAACGATCCAATAGTTATCGCTTCGAACTCACAGAAAAGTTTGTAACCTTATACGTCTTCCACATGCTCGTTCGACCTTTAAAGGAACCCCTTTCACAGATGCCAATTATTAGGAAACTTCATTCACCTTGCATGACTGGACTTTCAGCAGGCTCCACTGCAACCACTTTGATTTCTGGATTCATGCCCTTGAGATAGTGACCTGTTCCAGAAACCGTTCCTCCAGTGCCAGCGACTGCAACGAAGATATCTACTTTTCCCTCGGTGGCCGTCCAAATTTCAGGTCCTGCCATGGACACCAGCAACAGTATAAGACTAGAAGAACATTTGAGGACGGACATTCACGTGCTGGCTTCATGGATAGTCCGAGGCGCAGAATGGAAGAAAATACCAGTCCATGGAAAAAAATACTGTCAACGAAGAAGGACACAGAAGTAGAAGAGAAAAATCGTACCAGTTGATTTGAAGTGGGCTAGAGGATTGTGGGGGTTGGCGAACTGTCCGAGCGAGAACGAGTTGGGAGTTTTTGCAATAACTTCTTCGCATATCGCCATAAGGTTATCCACGCCCTTCATAGTATCTGAAAGAGTTCACGTAAGAGAGAAGCAGGGCTTATCAGTCCTATAGAAGTCAACCTCACATTTCTACAGCACTACACAGTAACCTAGTATGCCACAAGTTGAGCTACGCCCGTCACTGAACAGACCATACGCAGCTACTTGATCCTTGTCAACATTGGTGTGGAGATACGCCGACACATAATCCTCTTTGACGATGAATACCTGTGATTAGGACAGTTGCACCCAGAGCTCGTAGAATCATTCGTCGCTCCATGGAATAGGTGTCGGGCATAACAACAATGACCTTATAACCTCTTCCGAGACCGACAAATGCCAACGCAATGCCAGTGTTGCCACTGGTGGGCTCGACCAGCGTAGTAACGCCTGGGGTTATCAAGCCCTTATCTTCGGCATCCTGGATCATCCTGCAAAATCATCAGCATGGCTTTCCCTCTTAGCTCCCCTCCGGCGAAGCAGACAATAAGTTGTAAAACCGCACGATAACTCCTTTTGTATCCCCAATCCAACAATTCCATGTGTCTGCTGCAAACTTGAATGTTAAAATCTAGTGTGAGCCGAAGTCGTCGTGTACATGTGTGCACTTTCGAGACTGTATCATGGGGACAGAGGAGTTACTGACCCGAGAGCTATTCTGTCCTTGACGGAGCAACCTGGGTTCATGCCCTCCACCTTCGCGACGACTCTGGCAACTGCTCCCTCCGCCTTCGTGATGTGATTGATCTCTACCATAGGAGTCCATCCGATGAGCTGTAGATGGAAGGGAGAACTTAGATGAAACTTTCGCATAAAGGTCGCAAAATGGAGGTTACTGAATCCAGCAAGGAAGCTACGATGACATTTTACCAGTCGTCCAGTCGTCTGCGACTCGAAAGTGGATAATCAGACTGCTGAATGAGCACGTCTGCCTTTCTTTAGGGAAACTAACTCACTCAAGGAGTGCAGCCTCTCCGACTAATCAGAAAGAGAACGGTGGAATGAGTCCTGAATCTCAATCAAGATTCTACTGGTGTATGAGTAAGTGCCTGCCTGCCTGACTGCCCCTGACAGAAGAAAGAATGGAGCTCATAAAATAAGGTGCACTTTCTCCTGAAGTTTGAACTAGGTCTGATCAACATTCCGAGTTTGATAACGAACATCTTCAGTACACACAATTCAGCTTTCTTCCTTTGAGATACGATATGCATTCATTGGTGCAATGCAAGGCGTAGCACGGGGCCTACCTACGCTACCGAGGCGAGAACAGACAACACGCTTGAACGAAAATGTCGTCCAGAGGTCGAGCTATGATTCGCATCCTTTCAAGATACTCAAGAAGCTACTCATAGAACGCACTTACGTTCCGGTCTGTCTCAAAACATGTACACAAAGGCAACAAGTTTTGTGTACAAAATCTTGTAACAGGTCCGCAGTGAAATGTGCATCAATTCACCAAAACAACAGAGGGTCTAAAATTGCAATCTTCTTCCGGCACTCAGCTGATACGCGAGTGTAAGTAAGGAATCGCATGCAAGGAATTTAACATTCTTTACATTCTTACATCATCTATATACATGGCATCTGGTCTGTACAAAAGAAGCAGGAAACGAATTCTTCGACTGTCGTCAGCATCCGTAAGCGAGGTGAAAGACGATAAACAGCACAGCAGTCGTTTGCGTGAATTCAAACAGAAATAAAAAAGCACACGAGCTGCAGGTTTCAAACTTACATCCACGACACTCTGATAGATTTTGGGCTCTCGAAACGGTGGAATTGGCACGCCGGCAGCGTGCAACTGTTTGTAGGTAGGATGAAGACCCGCGCTCACAGCAGTCGGGGGAAACGGGGATGCAGCAAATTCAGTCGCCATCTGCACTATCTCGACCGATCAATCGCCTCTGAAAATAAAACCACCTGATCGGGATCCAAACTCGTCAATTCCCGTCGCTCACGCCAGCTCCCCCACCACCTCCGAAGGCAACCCGAACCTCTGACTAGCCAAACTCATACACCAGCGGAGCCTAAACACGAACACTCTTCAAATGCGAAAGGCCGATCAGTTCAGTTCGACGACGAATCCGATGAAATAGCGCAGCCTGCAAATCGGAACAGCGTCGAGCTCGAGGAACATTTCCTTTCCGACTCATCTTCGTTGCCTTCGGAGACCCGTCACCAGAATGCCATAGACTGGACCGAATCTTTCGCCCGAGGCTTCCGCTGCAGACTCGGTCGTATCTCCAGTCAACGATCAGTATCGAGCTGCGCCATGCTCCCAAAAGAGACTACTGGTCTGCGAGCAGATAAGTCCAGCTGGAGTCGTGCGTGCAGCCTCGCCCCCATCGCTTCGTAATAGCATCGGGCGCTAGTTGATCGCTGCTCATCATACCGACACTGATCGTGCTGCGAATGTCTCATGTCTCCTTTTCTCGTTCAGATTACCCGACATAGCACCGCGACCAGTGCTCACCTCCTTGTTCTTCATCGTTAATCTCGACATAGCTCAATGTAAAGAAGAGTGCACACTTAATAGAGTGCACACTTAAAGGAGAAAAAATAACGAGAATACACAGAGAGGAATAACCATTTATAAATCATATCAATAAACATAACATACCATGACGTGAGTGTCTACTATGATTTAAACAACTTATGAATTTTCTTATGAACAACTCATATTCTTAAATGAGGAAAATACAATTCCAAAAGACCTTAGCTCTATTGATTTGATGGTGAAATTTTTTTGGAAAGCTTTGATAAAAACACGTATATGAACTTATTAAATTTGAATAATTTAGTTCAAGAAATCAAGAGATACTTCAGAGATTGAATCATATATACGACAAGGATTTATATGTGATCTTTGATCTTTGAAGCAGCAATATGAAAACTATTAAATGAAATTGTTGCTGTCTTGAATTTTTAATCTACAACTCTGTTAAAATGTAAGTTTAAGTTATTAATATAATATAAATGTTAAATTTATGGTTTTTTTATTTTTATTTTTTATGAATTTTTAATTAATCTTATAAATTTATAATTCATAATAATATATGAAGTGAAACAATTTCTTAGCATTTTTAATTGTTCGTCAAATTCCACATAATTAATTATCATTAACTGCAAAAAATTAACAAAAATTATATTCCAAACTTAACTATATGATTAAAGCTTCATCAACTTCTATGAAGAATATTTTTGAACATAATAAATTCTTCAAATAAATATGGAATTTCATTACCATTAAAATTTATTTTTATCAATAAAAACGTATCAAATTTTCTTTAATATTGTTAAAAATATATAAATGTGTTGCACTTACATGAAACTAGAATAATATCTCAACTCGTAATATTTTACAAATGTATTTCTAAATAAAAAAATGTATGTTATAATTTACACATGGTTTGTATATTATTTTTTTAAGATCTTAAAATTTTCAAAAAATAATTTTCTCATAACTCAAAATATGATTAATATTTTATCAATAACGTGAAATGAAAAAAATAATTGTATAACTCATTGTTATGATATGAAAGTGTAATATTTTGATTAGAAATATCATAATAATCTAATCTATTATACCAAATTAATCTATGATGTATGTGATATTAAAATAATATAAGACTTGGATATAGAAAAATTAAAAATTTTTAAGAATGAAAGGTATTAAAAAAATAAAAATTGGTACATCAGAAATCGTTGAAATAATATTTACAGCAAACTCAAAAATAAATTTTGCTATAGAATTATGACCAAGTGGATGAGAATACAAAATGTCACACCTAGAGTAGTCATTTTTTATTGAATTAGTAAAAATATTGAGATTCCAAAAATTAGTGATGAAATTTGTTAATTATGATGAGATGGAAAATAACAGAACTTTGTTGTCATATACATACAAATAGAACTAATAAATAAAATAAAAAAAGCAAAAGTATTATATTTTGAAAAACAGTTTGCATGCTATAGAAATTTTATTAATATGAAATTTATTCTTAAAAAATTAATCAATAAATTCATAATCAATTTGAGGAAAAGAACACTACTTACATTTGGTTGAAAATAAATTACTGAAAATATTTATTTCTTATTCGATTATTAGAAAATCTAAATTTTACACAGTATGATGATAAGCTTATCATTAGGGTTTATGATTTGAAGTTTCATTCAAGAACATTAAGTCTTTTTTGAAAAATGAATATTTTTTTGAATGTTATTGCATCAAATAAATTTTTTTAAAAAATTAATGAATTCATTTTGAAATCTTTTGACATATAAATTAATTTTTAATAATTTTGAAAAGTATACCGAATATTTTACAAACCCTATGTTTTATAATATTATTAACAACATGTTCTTTTGTAAGTAATTTTGTTTATCTTGTTAGTTTAAATTATTTTGATAATCATTATAGTCAAAATTATCTGAAGCTAATTGAATGGCTTAAATAAAAATTTACTGTAAGTATTTATGTATTTTATTTTTTTCAAAAATATTATGAATTTGTTTTATCTTTTCAATATAATATAAGCAGATCAGATTTTTCTCAAATAGAATTATATTTCATGTGTGTTTGATAATCAAATTCAAATAACATAATTCAAAACGATTCCATGTAAGTAAATTTAAAAATAATTGGATTGAAGTAATGATACTCTTCACTCTAGATAGAAAGAGTGAAGTCTACTTTGATGCATATGATACATGATTGCATTTCAAATATTGAATTTTACAATTATAATATAACATTATATTCAAATTTTAATAATGTTGGCAGTTAAAATTTGATTATTTTGATAAAATTTACACACACACACACACATATATAAATTTTTTTATCTATGAATACAAAAGAGTTGAAAATTATTGAGTGCAAAATATATGCAGAAATCTGACTTTGAAATTTAACTAAAGGTACACATTTGAAGTCAAGTCCAAGTAAAAAATTATCAGCAGATCTGGAATTTGATTTTAGTTTTGCAAAAAGTACATCAATTTCTAATTTAAATCTGCATGATCAAAATAGTTGAAAATGGAGATGTTTAAATTTTGTTTAATGTTCATAAACAATATAAGAGAATACTCAAAATAATTTAGATGAAACAATAATATAAAAATTACCAGTTGTCAATGAATATGTCTCACATCCATTTGATATTTGAAATGAGTAATGTTGAATCAATCATATACATTAGATCTGGAATAAGAAAGCTGATAGACAAAAAAATGAAAATAATCTTCAATGGTATTTTGTTTCTCAACAGCACAAGATTGATAGATTAAAAATGATATGATATATATGTATTAAAAATATGATAATTCAATCGGATTCGAATTTTCTTTCAAAAATATACTGACAATTGTATGTTTTTTTTTGGGTCATGTGAGCATGAATCTGATAATATTTGTATACGTTAAAATAATGATAAAAAATTTTAATAATTTTTTATCAATAAATTTTAATTTTAAGATATTCTAAGATAAGATAAGATATAATATATTTTATTTTATAAATAATATCTAAAAATCCCTTATTTTATTTCAATTTTCAATAAATCTAAAAAGATGAATAATATAATATGATTTAAGACATTAAATAATTTTGTGTAATTAAATAGACATACATTTTATTAAATATTGATAATAACTTAAACTTTATACTTAGCTATCGATGCTTTTAATGCAAATGAATACAATATTGTAGATTGACTATTACATACTTCATTGTCGTGCGAATACATATCGCCATACACTCTACATCGCTGAACCCTTCTTTGCAGTGTGTAGCATAGCAACCATTGATAGTGTCGCCTCCCTCTAGTGTGCCTATGGAAGAGGAATGGGAGCCATTGATTGGTTCCAAGATCACAGGAGGAGAGAGGCGACGATTGACACAATTCCTTCGAGACTATAGAAGTTGATTTGCTTTCTTGGTGATGGATGTTTTGGATGTTTTGGATGAAATAGACGGGAGATTCCCCACTGGAATTCCCGTCGGTCAATTACCCTATTGGCAACAAACTGTCACCGTCACAAACATGAGTCAAGCCCAACCCACTCCACACTCCGAGAATCCAGGTCGACGCAAAGGGGAAAGTCATTCTACGCTCCCAACGCTTCCAGGCTCGACTCGAAGAACTAACGTTCTTCGAGCCGTCCCCGACTCTATACCCCTCGTGACCCGAACCCTAACTTCACGGCTAAATATAGTAAGTGTCTAAACTTCGTGAGCCGACTCGTAACTACATGACAACTGTCGTGCGAATACATATCGCCATACACTCTACATCGCTGACATGCTACTCACATACACATACGCACACACATACACACATATAAGGCGCGAGAGAGTACACACTCAAACGTCACAACTCGCCCCCCTAGCTGGCGGTCAGGTACCTCTGACTCCCAGGTAGCCCTATCTACAACTACATGCTATACACCTTCGTGGGTGCGCGAATCAGAAGGCCGGGTGCTATGTCGCCCCATCGTTAGTCGCCTATCTGCAATTCATAACATGTGAAGATCAAGTCATCTACCCCTATGAAGTACATCGAGGACAAACCCATCGTCCAGCCGGAATAACATTGATAGGCGGAGTCAGGCACAACATGTGCCATCCCCTAGAACACCTATCACACACCAACATACGGGCCGCCTGACCAGCCGACCCACACAGCATGCACCTCAAGCCAGCACGTACTATCGCTAAGCTTGGGTCCATAGTGCCATCTACGTTTGGGAGGTGGCATGGCGCACAATTGCGCACATGATCCTTCCAAACAACGCCGTCACGACCCTCCAACAGGAGAACTCCAAAAGGTAACACCTCCCGCACTCGCAAGATGGTGCATCCCGCCGTCACATCCAAGGTCGTCGGTGCAGTCTGCTGTAGATAGACGTAGTCTCCCACATGGAATCTACGAATTGATGGTCGATAACCTCCTCCCCGAATGGTTGCATACCGCAACGTATCTCTATGTTGAGCAATTGCAAGATTCTCAAACGCTGCAGGCATAACTCTCCGAAAGAGCTCTGCACGTTGAGAACATAATCTCACCCACATATTCGGGTCATCAAGGTTCACCACCTCGCTAGACTCACGACGAATCGATGTTGGCAAGTCTGGATCTCGGCCGTACAATAGAAAATATGGTGAGAAGAAAGCCAAGGATGCCTGCCGACTGAACCGATATCCCATGGCCAACCACGGTAACTGGATATCCCAGTCCCCAAGGTGACCTTTCTGCAGGCCATACTTGCGCAACGCCCTCTTCACCGTCTGTACTGTAAGACCGGGTGTTGCACATATGTACTAAGTCTTAGAAGTGGTCAAGGGAATAAGGATGATTAGCCAAGGCATAGCTAAGACTAGCTAGTTATGACT